TGTATGTATGTATATATATGTGTATATGTATATATATGTGTATATGTATATATATGTGCTATCAGCTTTTTAGATGTCAACATTGTGACCAGAAAAACCTTGTTGAAATTGGCAGGATCTGCCAGTGGGCAGCACAGTCCTGCTTGGCTAAATATCGGGGCTAGCAGCTAACAACGCCGGTTGCATTGAGTTACATTACACTATCTGGAATATCCAAGTTTTTGTCTCATAAATTTGTGACTTTATTATCTCGCAAATCTTTGGGTTACCATTGGCAACCATTTCGAGAAATTGGCAACCAACTCTTGGCCTTTGGTTGCCCTCAGTGGCAACCACTTATTAACATATAAAAAATAGGGGCAACAAAATGTACCCCCCAAAAAAATATTTTTTTAAATAATTGTTGCATTAGTGGTATTAAATATTTCCGTGACAGTCAGAACCAGACAACACTGCACGTGCATACGCACTGGCATCTCTTTTAAAGACAAAAGCAAATTCAGTTGTTTGACTGTGGGATGGAAAGTTCGACGGACCCGTCAACTTCACAAAGGAATGTGCAAATAGATCCAACTGACAAATAACCAGATGAACCTGAACTAAAAACAAAAAGGACATTTTGGAGGCGTAGTTCCCCAGCATCTTTTGCTGGATGGAAAATTATACTGCAAAGCATGTACAACATACACCTCAATAAGTGACACTACTATTTCTGGATATCCCCTAACTACCTTTTTTTTTTTCTTACTTTTTCCTGACAGTGACTATTTATTCAAGCTGCTCCTCATTGGTGACTCTGGTGTTGGAAAGTCTTGCCTTCTTCTCCGATTTGCAGTGAGTTTCCCCAAACAATACAAACAGTATGTTTTATATGAACTCCATTTTAAGTTTGAACTATGTAGTGATTTCATGCAGACGGTTGAAAGCTGTCTTCAGCAGAACAACATTATAGAATATATATCTTTACTGGGTTTCTCATTACTCAACAAGAAACTAAGTTATACCAAACAAACTCAAGCAGTTAACTTGCCTGTAACTCATTAATTTGCTGTGAAACATGCTCCAGTTTGTATACAATTTAAACATTCCCTGTGCCAACACCGTGGCTACTTCCCACAGGTGCTAGTAGTGACTGATGCTGTGTATGTAGTGAAGAAGGAAGGAAGTGAACAGGATGTGTGAGCTAACTGACTGTTTCTTTTCGCAGGATGACACATACACAGAAAGTTACATTAGCACTATTGGCGTGGACTTCAAAATACGAACCATAGAACTAGATGGAAAGACCATTAAACTTCAAATTGTAAGTAACCTACTGCTTCAATTTCATATCAGTGTCCTTCAGTAACCATGGCTCACTCAGAAAGTCAGTTTCTCAGGACATCTGTACAACTACCAACATTAAAGGCATTATTCTAGATTATTGTCAACAAATCCCTTTCAGGGTCAATAGTTCTTACTGAAGATATGAGTCTTAAAAAATGACCCTCAAATATATGGTTTTATTTTTGAAAAAAGCTCAGTATTTTCATGACACAGTTGATCACTAGTTTTTAGCTGAAGTTACTCAAACAAGAGGAAATCGTACATTTGTCTAGGACTATTTTCAGCGGCGGATTGATTCACGTTTATTGCTCTAGTGAGTACAGATGTATGTGGGATTTAGTCAAAATATACTTCAGTGTATTTGTTGAAAAAATAAAGAATTAAACTATTAATTAACACTATATACTTGAATTTGTATTTGACTATTGACACTCGCATTTAAAGATAAAAAAAGTGTGTTGTTTTTGTCAAGTTTTCATCAACTGTATTCATCTTTTTCCTTTGACAGTGGGATACGGCGGGTCAGGAGAGGTTTCGTACAATCACATCCAGCTACTACAGAGGTGCTCATGGTATCATCGTAGTGTACGATGTCACAGACCAGGTCAGTGTAACATTACACCATATTCTACCTATACCAACTACTCATTAATACCATAGGAGATGAGATTTTGCCCACCAATCACCCGCCACAGTGGCGAGACATAATCTTATTGGCCTGGTTTCTTATGAACTGAAATGCAGAGAGATGAACAATTTCTCATTTTGCTGGTGTCTCCCAGGAACCCTGTCAGATGACATGGTTAGATATTTTAACACTTCCCAAATGAAGAGTCTACTTGTATGTATGTGCAGAGGTAGAATGGTATTTATGAGTGTAAAAGAACAAGCAAGTTTCTTCCATTTGGGAAAGAAGTGAGTGTTCACTTTACTCAAATCAATGCTCTCTGCTCTGTGATGAGTGGATATGGGTCCTTCTTCCTCAATGGATTTCTCACTGTATGACTTTTTTTGAGTGCTCATCTAAATGGAGGTTTTACACAAGAACTATTTGAGTCAGAGGACGCAAACATGAAAATCTTCAAATTTGGCACAAACGTCCACCTAGGCTCAAGAATGAACTGATTAGAATGTGGTGGTCAAAGGTCAGTGTGACTTCACAAAACACGTTTTGAGCTGTAGCTCATTAATGCATATGCTAATTATGACAATTTCACACAGATTTCCAATTGAATAAAAGGATGAAGTGAGGACATTTTTGGACAGACATGGATGTAGAATGCAGCTTGGCTGGTTGGCACTCAACCACAAGGCAGTATTTCTAGTTTTCTTGGGTGTAGGGGGCGGGGCTTCACAGAATGCAGGTGGGGAGAAAACATAACGGTACAGACAGATGGAGATAGACCGAGTAAATGTCAGGCACACTGGTGCAACCAATGAAGATGTTTCGTTGCACTTGACAGATTTCTGGTCGGTACAGCAGGAATTCATGTTTTCAAGACCTGTAAAGCATGATGTAATCTGATGGCATTTAGGTATAAGGCAGTGAAGTGTTTAAAACCTGTCTGACTTTACTACATGGTGTCTCCTAGTGTTTGCTAAACATGGTCTATAAAGGCAGCCTTGTGTTAGCTCACGATGTTCAGTGTCCACTGGGCCCCTCTGTCAAAACTCCACTGATGCTTTACCACAATAATTCCTGACACATCGGGAAGTAGTTCTGGTTTTTATTTTACAATCAAAAGATGGTGGTGGAACTAGAGGAGTTTCCCCCCCTGAAACCATGTGGTTGAAACAAAATGACATTACCATTGCCCAGGGCTTCCAGCTTGGAAATTCTCAGCAAGAACAACCCAAATCAGTAAGCCAAAAAAACAAAGCTTGTCAACACCTGCTTCAGTTAAATTCTCCATTTCCTGACTTGAGGGCAGACATGCATGTTATAAATACAACGTGGAGAGTTTCAGAAGTTACAACCAACTCTAAGCAGTCCATGCTGCAGCCCCACTGTCCTCTTCATGTTCAGCTTGAGATATGGAAGGATAAGGCCCCGCTTGTGTAACTCTCAAAGTTCATAAGCTGCATCATTCTTGTCTCGTATCGTGTTCTGTCCTCGCAGGGTTTCAAACTGACTTCCCGTCAAAAAAAGTGCCGAAACACATTGCGAACAAAAAAAATATTAACACTGGCTCCATGGAAGCTGCTGTTGTCGTGTAGCAGACTCGGCTCAGTACTGATGTTAAACTGTCCTGTGTCTCAGGAGTCCTTCAACAACGTCAAACAGTGGCTACAGGAGATCGACCGCTATGCCAGTGAAAATGTCAACAAGCTTTTAGTTGGGAACAAGTGCGACCTGACAACAAAGAAGGTGGTGGATTACACGACGGCAAAGGTAAGGCCCCCTGGGTATTCACTCCCACACAAACAAGCTTTTGTACATAAACCTTTTCATGCTTCAGACTGTTTTTGTTCTGCTGGTAAGGGAGTCAGTCTCAATAAATTAGTATGACAGAAAGTAGATGGTTAACTTTTAACTTCCTATTAAAGTGAGAGACTCAAATAGGCTGATCCCATGCCGAGGTATGACCCAGAGCCACAGCCAAGTCCTACTTGCATCGCTTCATAATATAGCAAACGTGAATAGAAAAGATTAGTTTTTTTTAGCAGTACATCCCATAACCAAATGTGTACCACCCAGACTTTTAAATCTTTGCTTATCTACTACATCATTAGTTCAAAATCATTCAAAGTGATCTTTAACGTAAATAGAATATTGAAAGTGATACATTTATAATTTATTCAAAATATTGATTTTCTTTTTAAGAACTAATTTAATCTGTTAATTATTTATAATTGGCATGTTTCTTTTGATTTTGCAATTTTACAATCCATCTAAGATTTGATTTTATTAAAATAAAAAATTTAACGTGTAAGAAGTTTTTTGGTCAAAAATATGATTTTAAATAGCCCCCCTCAGTAATGATGAATACATATGAATATATAGATATGCATTATTTGTACAAGAAATAAACTGAAAATCACCATCTGGTAATATTTAACATAACTAGTAAATACAAACACTTTTAATGTATTTGCTTAAATATAAAAATCGAATAAAAAAAAAAAAAATGCTATATTCAAGTGTGTCGTTCTATCAAAAGCAGATCTGAACAACACTTTTCTGGCGTCTGTTATGTCAGTATTTTATGGTCTCCATATCGTGTTAACTGAAGCCAAAAGTGACCTATGCGACTGACATATTTTAGAATCTAATTTTTTCCACCATTTCATAGTATTTTGCTTTTCACTACAAAACTTAAGAACTAAAAAAAAAAAATATGTAAAGAACCTCACAACTTTAAAAAATGCCTAAAATGCAATTTCCCTGTCCTCTATTGTGTCCAGGAGTTTGCAGACTCTCTGGGCATCCCATTTTTGGAAACCAGTGCCAAGAACGCCACCAACGTGGAGCAGGCCTTCATGACCATGGCCGCTGAGATCAAGAAGAGGATGGGCCCCGGGGCGACGGCTGGAGGAGGGGAGAAGGCCAACGTGAAGCTGACCCCTGGCACCACTGTCAAGCCCTCGTCAGGAGGATGCTGCTGAGAGATGAAACCACCCCCTCCAAACTCCACCTGCCACAAAGTACACAGGACAGGGGGACGACTTGGCTCACACGTCCCCGTGAGAACAAGATGAAGTTGCCCGCATTTGTACTGTACATAGTATAGCCGCACTACCAAAAACAAATAAAGCATCCTTCTTGTCATACTGTCCAGTTTATCGATAGCTAATTCTACAGATAGACCATCATTCAACCCGTCCCACGACTACACCCCCACACCCCTTTATCTCAGATCTCTCAGAGACTACTCTTTTATCTGGCCCTCTGAATGCAGTTTTGTGAGAACAGTGTGTGTGTGAGAATGTGTCTGTTTCTCTGCATTCCTACAGGTAAATTAGTTTCATTAAGGTTTCTGTCTGTATGCACCTTTTTTCTGTTGTTTCTCTTTTCCTTTCTGTGATTTACATTGCGGTTTGTGTCAGCATGCGTCTGTCTGTCAGTCTGTCCCCATTTGAAGGTGTTTTTTTTTATTATTTTTTTATTGCTCAGTAACCTCCAACAGCAGTGTCTCACTGCATCTAAAGTGCAACAGACTTGGATGGGTGCGTGTGTTTGTATATGTGTGTGTATGTATGTGTATGTGTATATATACACACATTCATACACACACATAATTTGCCATTTCTGTAGTGTTCAATGCGTCATTGGGCTTGTCTTAACTCTTTATCTCTGCATTACATTCGTGGCTGAAGACAACTGTACGTTTGTTGCTCAACATGTAACACTTGAACTGAAAAATAAATATTGTACTACCAGACTGTATGAAATGGGATGGGCCTGTCTGCGATTCTTGGGTGAGATGTGTCGAGGGGGAAAAAAACCAGTTTGAATTATTTATTCTACATTCGTTTTGGCATATCTACTGCCATTATAGGGTCTGTTTGCAAATTGCTGTGTCATCTCCGTAAAGAATTGCATATATAAAATACAATGTTCTCTTGTTTTCGTAATAAAGGTGACTGAATTCAGTTCTAAAGGAAACCCGTGTGTGTGACTGTGTGAGTGACAGAATGACTGGAGCGTCTGTCCACGTCAGGAAAGAGGAAACTTCTGAGGCACTTATCTAAAAACATCACCGATGCCAAACACGGTGACACACATGTGATCAGACTTCCCAGAAACTGTTGAAACGTGTGGGTCACCCAGTGCTTGCAACAATTATTCATTTGGAAAGTACTTTTTGTCAAACGGGAAGTACAATTTCTGCTGAAAAGTGTATTTTCAAGAAGCAGATACTTCTTGCCAAACAACTAGTATGCTAGTTGTGTTACAAGTACTTTGAAAATAAGTTGATACTTTCTTAGCAGTAAAAAATAAAGAGTGGAAAAAAGGAAATATGGGGTCAAGGGGAGAAGACTGGACATTGGAAAGGCGGACAAGGAAAGTTGTTCAATGAAAAAGGTCAAAGAAATTATGGGGGGGGGGGGGGGGTAATAAACTTGTAATAACTAAAAGTTTTCCTTTTCATGTATATAATATTTTTAGTAAAGCATAGTGATCTTTATTTACCTCTTTTGGCAACAAGCGGAAACTGCAGCATCAGGCTGTGGAATGATTCAGTTAGACAGTACGTAACGGAGTGACTATAAAGAATGGAATTGAGTTGCGAGCCAATGCGACAGACAACCAGCTCTTTAGCATGTTGGACACACCAGCATGGCACTGTCTCGTAAAATTAAGTTCCCATCCAATGACACTGGTCTGCAGAAGACTGCTTTGGGAGGAGGGCTGTTGAAAACTGTTTAAAACTGCGACCGTAATATGAGAGGAAAAACATGTCAAGCTAATGTAAAATATGCCCCTAAAAGCAGAAACCTTCAAAATGTGTGGTGGCATTGCATTGTGATTACATTCCTCTATTTGACTTGTATTGCTGTATCTCAATTCTTCTGATTCTCTGCAGTTTATCTGCTCACATGATTTCCATCATCACAGCTTTGGCTTACAAGAGCTTTTCCAAAACACAGCACTCTTCTGTCCAAAAATGATTGTCATCAGTGAAGTTTCCATGGTCGGAGAGAGGACTGAATCCATCCTCAGTTCGAGTAGATTTAATTGTCTTTTATAAACTGCCACACGTCACAAAGACTAGGCCTTTTGTTGAGGTATCCACCAAAAATGTCCGAGACACACCACACCCAAAACAGATCTCTCTATTCTTCTAGTTAAATAATAGATTCACCAATTGATTAATCGCCCTATTAAATTGAAGATTAAAGAAATACTTGAAACAGAGTAAAACTGTGGTACTGCTGTGTGTAGCCTACTGCAGATGAACGTTGATGCTACCTAACACATCTACTTCCCGAGGAGCGAGATGCGAGACCTTAAAAAGCGCAACAGCAACGTTCTGTGGTTTGGGCATCTCTCGACACTTACACGTTGGATACTTTTAGGCATATTTTGGTTTTCACGCCTAACTGACAAATGTGAAACAGGACTCTTGTAATCTATAGCCATATAGGAAGTGCTATCTTATCTTAGTGTAATTGACTTTTTATTCATATGTTTTGTCCTCATTAAGTTTCATTCTCTTTGATGAGTTACGATTTCTTTCCTTTGATTGAGCTAAGAGTGTTTTGATCTCATATATCGATATATTCTTTACATGTAATCTCTATATTTAGTGTCAATTTAATGATGATAGCCTTCATGTGTTTTTCTATAATGTATCATTATGTAATCATATGTGCTTCTATGTTGACTGAATGGAAAAGATAAGTTAATTAATTAATTCGGGGTTTACCTTACTCTGATAATTGCCAGAGTCCGCATAGAAAACAGGTTGTAAGTGCAGAAACTGCAACTATAGTAATTGTTAGAGGAACATCCTGTTCATTAAAAGTCAGACAGAAACCTTCATAGGGGAGCCAGCAAGAAAGTGTTAACTTAAAATAACAAGTCTGTCAGAAAGGATAAGACTACGTAAACTGCTTTAACCAAATAATTGAGAATGATTAGTTGTCTACCTGTTGGCACTGATATTTGTTTTTCAGAGTTGTTGCTGTTAGCACTGATATTTAATTTTCCACCGTATTGTGCTGTTGCTCGAGTGAACGCAGAGCATAGCCTGTATAAGGAGACGCAGAGTAAAAGTGTTTACCATTTCTGCCAGTAGATGGCAGTATAAGTGTATTTAAACCATAGATTTAGTTATATTTACCTGTGTCTTTGTTAATTATCTATGTTATTGATACAGATGTATTTAATGCAGGTTATTTCATCTGATATTTGATGTTTAATGTTAATTTGCAACCTAGTTGTACACATCATGTATTTACTTGTTATTTGCATGTCATGAAAGAGTGAGCATGTGTAGTTCATGAAGCAATAAATAATGACAATTGAAAAATAAAGAGACGTTTGGTTCATTTTTATTAAACCCTACGCATAATTTACCTGTCCTTCACTCTGGACGACACATTCAGGGAGATGGACGAGTTCCAGGAAGACCCAGATCTCTTATTGGAGGAGAACAGCTGGAAGGGGGAGGACTCTGAGCACACTGACCCTGCTCAACCATGAACACCTCCAGGTCTGCAGTGTCCCAGTTTATTCACTGATTCATTTATTACAGGGCTAAGCACAGCAAAGTAACAGATATCAGGCGTTCTTGTTTCTATCTTGTTTTCTATTGTATGTTCGGTTCTCTGGCAGCTAATAGAAGCAATGTAAAAAAATGTAGGTTGACATTTTCAGGTCAATAAAACTTTCTAAACTTGATGGTAAAAATGCAAAGAAAATGAAGAAAACTGTCTCTCTGTGTTGCTTTATTGCATGATGAGGCATGGAATCAGAGTGAGAAATAAATAAATTAACAATGTACCTGTGTGCACAATTACAACAGTTCCTCTAGCACCATCATCATTTGATGTGATTCTTGTTTGCTTGTTACTTCTCTTTTCATGTGCCATCGATTAAACGATAAAACAAACTATCAAAACGTACACGGACCCAATAGAGCTCCAGTGCATTGATGGAGATACGCAGACAGCAAGTAGGAATGGAGGTTAAAAAATGTGTATTTCAGCCATTTAATATTGCACTTATGCTAAGTGCACAATCAAGGCAGTTGTTTTTTTTATAGCACATATTGTTTTGCTACAAAATCAGGTGCATTAATATGTCAATTTATTGTGACCAACATCACCGGGTGGGAACAAATCGAGAAAATAGACCACACTGTTCAGTGTGCATGCAACTAATTATTGATCTATTAATACAACCAATAGAAGAAAAGATGACCAACAATAATTTAAAGTGCAACAAGCATTATTAACTTACATAACTTGAATCACTTGCAACTTCTTATGCATAATAATAAATAAAACATCGTTACGGCAGACAGTTATATTTTTAATTTGAACTGATAAGCCATAGTTCAGGATTAATTATTAATATTTGTTTCTTATATACAGTCTATGATCTCACCCCTCTTGACTACTGTAACTCTCTCTTCGCCAGTGTGAGTGAAGTTGACTGCAAGCTTACACGCATGAAATTTAGTTTTATGCATGCATTTGCTTATTCATTGCAAAACATCCTGCTAGAAGCTGCATGATATAAATATACAAAATGTAGTTTGTCATTTATTTATAGAACTACTGGTTGTTGCTTTAAAAATAATGCTTTTTAAAATACAGGTGGAATATGATGACGTTATTAACGTGGTATAATAAAGTATTAATACACCAGCAAGCAATCAGCATTCGCGGGAAATATCAGATTAGGTGTGACACATATTTCCGCTCAGAGGGGTGGCTGTGTTGTTAAATGTTTTTCTTTGTACATTAAATCCTTTGGAGTCAGTAATTATTTATTTCATACTTCAATTCCTAATATTTTAAGGAGTTTTGTTTAATATAATGTTCGTATCAACTTCTAAAATATTGCATTATCTACACTCTAATCATACACCACCCTATTTTACATGCAGAAGTTTCGTCCTAACTGGCGCGAAATTGAATAGCCCCGCCCATTATAAGACTCCTAGTTGCATCAAGTGCGCCAAACTCCTGTATAAAATAGCGGAAGTAAAGCCTGGAAAATAAGATATTGACGCGACCTTCTCAAACCAGCTCCCTCATGACTAGTTTTATTTTGAAAGGTATGGACCGGACGTGTGCTCTTCGTTTGTAGCCACTTATCGTGCTTCAGAACGACACGCTGTGCAGAGTAGCCGTCGAAAGTCAAAGTAACGTTAGTTTTATTATAAACGTTTGCATAGTTTTAGATACAGCATTCTTTTTTGAGTTTACTTTGATACCCGCGGACCTGCACACCCCGAAAGGACATTGAACACTGTTAGCTAGCTAACTTTAACTTAGCGTTACTTCACTGTCTGATTTTCCTGCTTTGTATAACGTCAACCCGCGTTGCTATTTTGTTAGGCAACATTTTTTTTCTTTAACCGAAACGTTGACACATTAGCCCAGTCGTCTGCTTCGCTGTTTGCAACGATGAGCCGGTAGGTTGAATCGTTTTGCATCCGATTTTCATTGACGGATCACAACAACTCTAAAGATGTAACGTCAACTTTTAATTGTAACGTGGCTGTAATCCTTTTGTCGATGCTGAGAGTTGTCATATTTGATTATATCGTATTTACAGATATTACAGCCACCCAGTAGCGGGCTGTGCATTTTATACCTGGGCCTTCACTGCTGTCTTACCACCTAGCTAATAACCTAATGATGGCGCCACAGCTACGGATATTTGTTTCTAGGGGTGTAACATCACGTATTCGTATTAAACCGTTCGGTACGAGGCTTACAAACCGAACAATAATACTAGTGCATTTGGAAAATGCAGAAGCTTAAATTGTGGTAAATATAATGTTTTCGGTGGAGACACCGGTCTGTCTGTCTTAGTTTTCGGGTCAGCGTCTGACCCCGGAAGCAAAACAAAACACAGATGAGGCACGTATATTCTGCGAGGCTATGCTAAACTAGCTTAGTAAGGAAAACACGCACAAACTCACGCTATATTCTCCCCGCAGCGTTTAGGCAGCTGTTCCCTACTGATTCAAACAGGGCTAAGCAATCGCCACACAATTCCCATTTCTCCAGACCATAATTCTAGTTTGTAAAAGAAAACAGCCCAAACAGATTCAATTATCCGGACCCTAAACCCACGCAGGACGGTATGCTTCATAAGAGGTCCTTTTCGATTGCCATGGATGCCAGTGATGACAGTCGAGCCTCCCCAGTTGCGTTTCTGGAATAGGTTTTGATGCGTTTTAATGCTGAAAATGTCCGCTTGACAGAGGCAGTCAATATCGGGATCCTCGCCACCAAACATGCCAGTGCGTAAAGTTGACACATGCTCTCCACCAGATCTTTCTGCTGAAGGAAAGCCAGTAGATCAGCAGGGCTTTTTCCTTCAAAGTCAGCCATGGGGTACATTAGTCAGTTCTGTTTTAAGCCGTGTCAGATCATCAAACAGAGATCAGTGACTGCGTTAGGTTGGAGAAGGCCTCATACACCAAGACGTTCAGTCGCAAATAACAGGCATTCCCAGCAATACAATTTGCACCTCTTCTCCGACCCTGTCAGCCAGGAATACCGTTCATAGTTTGCGGACTGAAAGTGGCACACAAATCCTTTTCCTGGCTGGGTCAGGGCTGCTAGCTGTGGGGTTGGCCGTCCATTTCTTACTATGTCCAGTTTGTCTGGAAATGTCCTTCTTGAGAAAGGCGTTCCCAGTAACTCCGCCACTAAATCAGTTTTTCCTCCTCCTGTCATTTGATGTTTAAAAAAAACAAAGCTTGGTTAAAAAAAACTAAAAATGCCATCATTTCTTCCATATCTTTCCACTTGAACTCTGACTGCTACAACTTAATTAAGTTCTGCTAGTAAGCATAAGTTTCACTTTAGTCACGTGCTCGCCCACTGACCAATGACGGCACACTCGCGGCAGAGCTGCACCTGGACACTGAGCTGCATGTAATGCTGACGTAGCTATAGGCCGGCTAGCAGGCTCTGACACGTCAAAGAATACGCCCAACTAAATGTCAAACTAAAGATCTGATTGGTTGAACACCATGGCAATCAACAATATCGTCCCCATTCACTTAAACTGCACATGGATGCACTTGTGCATCTGCAGGCCTCAGGCCTCTCTTCTTACCTAGAGACACAGAGGTGAAATCTGATTGGATAAAAGCTCTACTTAAAACAAGCTGCACTGGAAGCAGAGCAACTGAGGAAGATGGTAGCTGTGCAATGAGAAAATAAGATAATGGGAAAACTATTTTTATAAATTATAATGCATGTAGTGTATTTAAGAAAAATTATAAAATAGATATAACTTTGTGATTCTGTTGAGGCCAGCAGAGAAGGCTTTGCAGGCCCTGACGGCCCGCCACTGCAGCCACCATGTGTAGAATGTAACTCCCCCGGGTTACAGACAGTGTGGTCTCAGTTGTGTTCTGCAAAGTGTCTTTGGAGTTGAACCAGCAAAAATAATTCAGCCACTGGTTTTGATTTGTGTGTTTCGTCCTGTTGACAGCGTGAAGGAAGAATCTCGAAGTGGGTCCCCTCACTGCCCAAAACCCGACGAGTCTGAGGAGCCGCTGGGCACAACCATGGAGACTGGAGCTTCCAATGGTCGGTCACAAAGTACCCTGGCAAAATCAGGAGTTTTTCACCATAACACGTTCCACGTTCGTTCGTTCGTTTTTTTTTTTTTTTTTTGTTTTTTTTTTGTTTTTTTTTTTATGGCATTAAGGCAATCAATTTTTTTTTGTATCACAACCAGAACTTTTGTACCAGAACTTTTAGGTTTTTAATATGTAAATTACATTATCTTACCAAATATGTGCTAATTTTCATACATTTCCAGAATCTTGATAAAACCAGGTTCAAAATTGTTTCATTTTGTTGACGTACTGTATTGGATTCAAAAGTTTTTACAGAGGGACTTTTGGATATCTCTTTGTCACTAATAAAACAGCAATACAAATACTATTTTGCCATGTTTTAGGAATATCATGTATTGATCAGGCAATGAATGATATATGAAAAAAACCTCTCAGTAAATACCTTGAGAATACAGATAGGAATGAAACTGGAAAGTTTGGTGTATGTAGTGTCAGTAGTGGTACTGTAGTGGAGATTTCTGGCTCAGTCTGAGAAAAAAAATTTATTTAGAGAAAACAGCCTTCAAAGATATGTTTTGTAAAATGACAACACTACAGGTGAATAGGATGGGGGGCAACTAAAAGATATCGCCATGAAACTTCCCCAATTTATTACTGACATTAAGACAATTCTTTTTTTTATTTTTTATTTTTTTTGTGAATGACAACTTTTTCTGAAATGTTATGTCAGCTTGACTATCACTGGTTTTTGTTTTTTTTTCTTTGAAGACATCGGTGTGAAATGTGAGAATGCGACATCTGAGGTGGTCATCACCAAGGAAATGGAGGATGAAGAGAATAAGCTGATGGAGGAAGGGGAGAGGAAAGAAAAAGAGATAATGGAAAAGGTGTGTTGCTTATTAATTCCTCAGGATGTGTGCTCTCCCCCATTTTTTCCATGTTTGTTAAGCTGCATCATGTCTAAGGCTGGGTATTAAATCGTCTATACCACCGAGTATCAAAAGCTGTCCCTTATCAGACTGAATGTTAAAAGAAATTATTGTACAGCTGCTTGTGTCTAACCTTGATGTGTTTCGATAAAGCTTTTTATCTCCAATACTTACTTACCTATTGGACGATATTGAGGACCGATCCGATACCCGGGAGTTGAAAAATAAAAGAAAATGCACACATACACAGAGTAACTTAACTCGGCGTCAATCGTCAAAAATTCTAAATGTTATCCTTTTATAAAGTCATATATAGTGGTTATTTGCATAAAAACGCACAATTGAAATGATTGGGAAATAAATAATTATATTTCTATTTAAATGTTTGCTTTGATTAAAAAAAGAAATCTTGTCATCTGTAGTTTTAATCATGTATTATAAGCTGCTAATGCTAGGAAGATCTCATAATTCCCTTTCTTATATCTATTTTATATTGCTAGAGAAACATCTCGCCAAATATTTTTCTTTTTACAAGTTAACATTTGAACATCATGATAGTTATTTACCTTTGCCCAATACTTTAAATGAATAGAGCTTGAACGCATCATAATGCAACTCAATGCAACCTCTGTTAATGTTAGCTGTTAGCTCTGATATTTAGCCAAGCAGGACTGCTGCCCACTAGCTTCTTTGATTAAAGTACGAAGTATCTGCTGTTCCCAATGTAGCAGTATCAGAGATATAATATGGTGCAAAAGAGTGTTCAACCACAGGTGTGTAGTACTAGGCCTACTTGGCACACGTGCCCATTTTGTAGGAGAACCTAATCCTCAAAGTGAGGTATTGAAAGAAAGTCATTCTGGTATTGGTGCAAATATTTCATACGGCATTGGCACAAGTATCAAACTTGACATTATATGGATGATTTTCTTTTTTGCTCACCTCTAGGCCCGGCAAACACAGCAGAAGGAGTCTCATGACATGCGGTTCAAGAGGCTGCAGCATTTACTGCAGAAGAGCAACATATACTCCAAGTTCTTGCTGACTAAGATGGAGCAACAACAGAGCGAGGTACAGTTTGTGTGAACGCCACACGGTAAAAACCTATGCTGTGTTTGTATCGACACCTGCTGGCTACAAGTTTAATCGCACTCCTTTTTTTTTTTCTGCTTGCAGGAGAACCTCAGGAAGGAGAGATCTGAAAAGAAGGCCAAGAAGGTGAGGAAAGCTTTACTTTATAAAAAAAAAAAAAAAAAAAGCTTACCATTAAAGTACTGTTCCGACTGTATTCATAGAAGTTTGTTTTCTTTTTTTTTTTTTTTTTTTTTTTTTTAATGCAGAACACAAACCGTGCAGAGCCAGAGAAAGGTGAGTAGATCTTCTGATATTTGCTCTGATGCGAATTGTAGCATGAACTGTTTTAAGGGACTTTCAAATCATGATATGTATGTATATGAATGTGACATTTTTGACTCTACTCCCCAATGGACTAGATAAAAAGAAGAGGAGGAGGGTTGACGACTACAAAATAGCAGACGTCATGTCAAAAGAAGTAAGGCCTCATTTGACTTTTTAGCCCGTTTTTGCACATTTTCCATTTACTGATCTGCTCTCATTGGTTTGGCTTGATTTTTGTCTTCCAGGAAATCTTGTCGCAAGCCAAGAAAGCAAAAGTGGAGGAAGCGGTAATGGCTCATTTTATTTTTTCGATCTGGGGAGATGATGTCAAGTAGGGGTGGGCGATTTGGCGAATATATCGTGTCACAATTATTTATTTTTTTCAGACAGGATCACGATCTTATCTCTATTCTTTTCCATACATCCAAACTACTACTACTATTTCCCTGTATAAAATATGTAGCCTAACAAGGTCACAAAACACCACACCAAATTCCGTTCCGCACTTTAAAATGTGTTAAAGTTTCTTTAAATGGATATCAGTCACTTTTCGAACCACATGAACCTCTCTGCGTTGGCATAAATGAAATTCACCACACTCATTTGAAAGGGAACACGTCGCTTGTAAAGCTGTTTACTTTGTTATTTCCTTCTTCCTAAAAAAAAAAAAACCAGGAGTAAAAATCACCAGGAGCAACTGCTTTTAGTTGAGTTTTCATCAGAACAACTGTATGACAGGTGTGTTAGCTGCATGTCGATTTAATCAGAGCTCACGAGGCAAGATGGCCTCGCAAGTTACCACGTGGCCAGTTGCTGCCAAAAAAATGTAGCGTTTAAAAGGCCGTTTTTTTTTGTTTTTTGTTTTTTTTTAAACAATAGAGTCTGGCGCAGGGCTCACTCCACATTAAACACACCGGAGCTACATTACATCACTTCCAGTGCGTTTGAGGATATGTTTTTATATAGCAGCAGCTCTGATCATTTAGCAGTGGCGTGGCGCAGCTCTATACAGGGAGGACACTGTAGCCATAGAACTGCAAACTGATAGTGTGAACTTTAGAATAGTACGTTCTAGATGTAAAGGCAGATTTTGGAGGAATTGTAATCGTTCACGATCTAATGTCGTCATATCGCATACCCCTAATTTCAAGATATGTAATAATCCATAAGAGGGAATGGGGGTGTAAATTGTATATAGAGAAGTAGGGTCATTGAATGTGACGCATCCAACCATGCTTGTCTATATCAAACATTTCTGATCAGGACAAGGCGCCGGTCCAGAGGAAACTAGAAGCCGAGGACATCGAGAAGATGTGCGATTCCAACCAGGACATCAAGAACCGCCTGTCGGAGGCGGTGCGAGACAACGCCAAGCATCTCCTGCATCCCGACAGGAAGGTGAACGGCGAGCCGGTCCCCGCCCAGCAGCCGCAGCTCTTCACCGGAGGTGTCATGAGGTCGTACCAGATAGAGGGCACAGAGTGGCTGAGGGTGAGTGGTTGACCAATTGTCATAGTTTATTCATTTGTTTGTTTATTGAGTCGAAGATGATGTTTGTATTCCAGTTACTTAATCTGACATGACAGAACCTTTTTTTTTGTAACAGATTGTAATAAAGTTGATTTTGTTCCGGGATATTTTAAAGTTACCGGTGCATAGCCGAAACGACTGCTGTCACTCTTCAACAGGAGCTAAATATGTCGTTTGCCGCAGAGGGCGCTTCGGTCGGAGCTAGTTGTCTTAAGTGTATCGAGAGGGACTCCTAATCATAGTTATAACTTTATAACACAACAATTAATAACCCACAACTAACGTTCTTTAACAGGGCAAAACACGACACAACAGTTTGTGACAAATGAACAATTTGTAACACTAATAATTGTACATTTGTAAAACTACACCATCGAACGGCATGCTGGGTACAGCTCGCTAGCTAGCCCGGAAGCACAACTGTCTGCTAACAGCTAGGGGAGTCTCCGTCGCTACAGTAACGTTACATTAAAGAACAGAATAGAGCGATGCAGGATGAACAAAGACAAACCAGAGATGCGCCAATAGAGTCTGTGCCCAAGAGAGGAGCTGGGTCTGCTGTTTGGAAGTGTTTTGGTTTTTAAAAAATCCAACATCCAAAAGACTATATATTGCAAAATCTGTCGAACCACTGTTGCCGCTGGTGGTAACACGAGCAACTTACTCCATCACCTCAGCAGACAACACGAGTTGGAATACCAAGAGTGTATGCGATTACGGCAGTCAACCAGTAACGTTAGCGCGAGTGAAACGGTGAAGCCAAAGGGTCAGACATCGCTTGAAGAGGCATTTGCTCGAGGCACTGCATATGACAAGAAAAGCAAGCGTAAAGAGAGCTCAGCGTCCCAACCGAAGCGTCTCCTCCTCAGGCCATGAGCAGAGCTTTGATCGCTGCTCCGCCGGTCCCGCTGGGCACCAACAGCACGCTGCTTGAGACCCAAACTGTATTGCTGGGCCCTCTGCAGGGAAGGGAGGCCCGGAAGAACCAGGACCACATGTAGCAGACTGTCAGATTCCTGCTGCCATAAAATGAGAGGTTTTCTAAAGGGAATCTGGTGCTCGGAAAAATACTACCACTTTCATCCACAGGGACCGCCAAAATCAACACACTGTGAAAGCTCCTTGTAGTAACTTTAATATAAGAGAGACAGGAATCCTACAGAACCTTTTGGTGCTCTGAGCATCAAGTAATGTGACGTAGCAAGAGCGTGAGTTACTTATTGAATTAAAGCTACAGATACTTGATTGTGTAATGGCGTTTTGCTATATCTTTCTCCACCTGAGTGTAAAAAGAGAGGAAATATTTATTTTTGCCTTTTTATAGTTTTTGGAGTGAGTGATAATTACTGTGCGCTGCTGACGATTTTGCCCTTTTTTTGCTCTCAGATGCTGTGGGAGAACGGCATCAATGGCATCCTGGCTGACGAGATGGGACTGGGGAAGACCATCCAGTGCATCGCTCACATCGCTATGATGATAGAGAAGAAAGTGATGGGCCCCTTCCTGGTGGTGGCTCCTCTCTCCACTCTGTCCAACTGGATCAGCGAATTCAAGCGCTTCACGCCAGAGGTAGGACGTGACTCTCATCTTCGTCTCGTGGAAGTGTAAATTACTTTCTTCGTCCGACTGGTTCTTTAAACTAGGGCTGCACGATTATGGCCAAAATCATAATCGCGATTATTTTGATCAATATTGAGATCACGATTATTTAACATGATTATTCATTAATTTTAGGGACAACATCTTTTTATTGCACTTTCACGTTTAAATGAACAAGAACACTGCTTCCACTTCCATTGTTGTGCTACATTCTGGCTAATGTACAAATCTTTGCATCAGACTGGTCCTGATCACAGTGCATCTCGTAGCAGGAAAATATAAATAAAATAGTATCAACACTTTTTACCCAAAATTAAATCAACAGAGCACTGCTTTCACTTCCATGTTATGCTACATTCCAGCTAATGTACACGTCTCTGCATCAAAATAAAACGTATACGGTTCTTATTCACCTGAAGCAAAATATAAATAACATTTTTACCCAAAATAAAGGGCTAACTAAAAATAAATGTGTGTTGCTCACAGTATTTATTGGACACACATCTTTGGCCAAATGAAATGCGATTGCATCCGTTATTTCAGCATGTCTTTGGGAGGTGGATGATATGCTGTCGCGCTATGCAGGGTCGCTGTTATGGCTTTCTGGGTTGACGTTGGACATGGATGGAGATTCAGTGAGGTAACGTTAGCTTTGACCTTAATGCATTCGTTGTACTGTGGTTTGTGGTGATTTTTCAGGTGGCTGAACAAGTTAGTTGTATTGCTATGCGGCGCAGACACAACTCTAATGTACTCTGTGCATATGATTTGTTCTTGGTTAACATCACTTGGCCTAAATCCAAAAAACTTCCAGACAACGGATGATGATCCTTTTCGAGGGGCTAGCTCCTCGCCTTCTGCTCCTGACATTTGATTTAGCTTTCACACGACACCCGTGACCGTCTGTTCTGTTGTCTGTCTCTCTACTCTTCTACTAATAGCGGAGTCTGCAGGGTGCGCGCATGACACCTCCCATCTCGTTCTCCCCCTGGTGGTCGGCTGACTGTTGGTTGAGGAAGCGCTTGATTTGATATGTAGCAGAGCACGCATTTCAAACGTCAATATCGCTGACGATCATGCTCATTTAATCGTGGCAGCCAAAATCGTGATTGCGATTAAAATTCGATTAATTGTGCAGCCCTACTTTAAACACATACAAGTTGTAGATTTGCAGGTGTATTGTTGAGTAAAATAGACCCGCACCTCGTCTGTTGTAATTCAGCGGTCTGAACAGTGTCGTGTGTTTGTCTCAGGTGTCAGTGCTGCTCTACCACGGCACCCAGGTTGAGAGGGCCAAGCTGCTGAAGCAGATCCGCAGACCTCAGGGGGCCCTCAGCATGTGCCCTGTGATGCTCACCTCCTTCGAGATCGCCATGATAGACAGAAAGTTCCTACAGGTAGGATCCCTGCTCATCCTTTACCAAACAGTTATCCCGGCTCAGTGAAACATGCAGCTTTTAGAGAAATTCTAGCAGGCACCCTTCACCGTTTTCGGACATTTTAGAGACAAAACGATCAATCCAGAAAATAGATTCCATAGATATTATAAATAATTGAGTCGCCGCCTTTATTTCACTGTTGTCATGAGTGTTGTGTAAGAAGTTGGGCCATGTCTGTGCTCCGCTCCAGCGCTTCCAGTGGAAGTACCTGATAGTGGACGAGGGCCACAGGATTAAAAATCTCAACTGCCGGCTGGTGCGTGAACTGAAGATGCTGCCAACCGACAACAAGCTGCTACTGACCGGCACGCCGCTGCAGAACAACCTGGCCGAGCTCTGGTCCCTCCTCAACTTCCTCCTGCCAGAGGTCTTTGACGACCTCAAGAGGTACGGAGCCACGTCGTTTTCTTTTGCCGATTAGAGTGCTGGTACCAGTGAAACTCAAAATTATTTTCCCAGTTCTGTGTCAATTGTTTATTTATCTCTTGTTTTATGCTAATGTAAACAAATTCAGTATCCGAGTGTTTACTCTTCTTTAACACCGTTTCAAATGTTTGATGACTCATTCTGATCTTGGGGGCGTTTACTAAAAATCATCGTTCAATTAAATGAGACTTTTGGGCGACTAGCTAGCCACACACCGTAAACCATTAAACCACACTTCACCGTTTGTGTATCTTAGTAGCTGACGGAGCGATATGGAGGGACAGGAAGAGATGATTGTTTGGATATATGTGGGCAAAAACTTTTTATTCATTTCCAAAATGATGTCACTGAGGTTTAACGGTCTGTGTCCACATAGCGTAGCACTCGTAGACTGTATAGAAGAAGTGGACGTAGTCATCGTGACTTCACCCACTGATTTGTGGACTGCCATTTTGAAGAATCGAGTTTGGCGATTTTACCGTTACCATCTTGGGTTAACCCTTCCCACTGCATTCAAGTGAATATGGTGTATAGAAAGTTTTATATCATAATTCTCGTGGTGCCCACGTTGCCTGAAGGCAATGTGGTTGTGGAAGGTCCTCAACCCTCTTTGTTTTGCTGTCACTCACGATTTACACGCTCCTCTCAGTTGATGCCACGCCCCCCCATGCCAGATCAGGGCCAAAAGTCTGAAAGTGGAAAAAAATTTGAAACTGAAAAAAATAAGACCTCAAATAGCAAAATATATAAGTGAAAAATGAAAATATTTTATTCAAAACAATTCCAGAACTGAATCAAAATTATATTCAACCCCAAAAACCTTTTCATTCACTTATTTTTATTTTGAATACATTGCTTTTTTTCTTCTTCAAATAATCAAAACTATTGGCCTGGATTTGGCTCCAGAGCAGCGCACTCAATCACAGTAAGCCCACCCTAAAGCAAACTCCATTTTATGGTCTGTTTTACTGTAAATCGACCATAATTTACTAAAAGAAGATCATGCTGTATTAAAGAAGACATGAAAGTAGTGATTGAGACCATAAACTCATGTTTACAATGTTTACTGAGAAGTAGGGTCATTTTCTTATAGATACCGTACAATCAGACTTGTTTTTGCAACTGGAAGAGTCGACCCATGCTCGGCTTTAGTCGGCACTTCATCCCAGCACTAAAAGTTTCTATGACAGACATATCTTAATAACAGGGGTCTCAAACTCATTTTCACTCCGGGCCACATCAGCATCATGGTCGCCGACAAAGGGCCGGTTGTAAATGTAACTACTCGTAACATATTGTTAAATAACTCTCTGCATTTGATTGTTTATTCAAGTGTAAAAATATTGTACATGCAGTTATATAAATGTAAAAATATATTTAAGCACATTTCTGTTATTATAACTTAAATCCTTTTAATTTAGGGTTAAGAAACCCACATTACTCTATCAAACTATTAAAGAAAACATCAAAGACAAATATCAAACAAGTTATTACAATAACTTTGTTCAAAGCTTAAAATCCTTTCAAGGGTGCGTTTGCACAATCCCACGTGAAGTATTTCATGTGTTGTAAAGCCATGTTTAAAGTAGTCTTCAATGTACTCGCAATACATTTCCATGTCACATGTAGGGTAACCAGCCAAAGAGCTGCTTCTATGACTGTGTTTACGTATCTCATCATTTTGACTTTCTAGCTCAGAATTTTGACTTTCTTTCATAACTTCGACTTTCTATCTCATAATTTCAACTATGGGGATATTTTTATTATCAAGTCTAACTTTCGATTTATTTTTTTTATTTTTTTGCTGGTGGATTCGCGGGCCACATAAAATGATGTGGCGGGCCGAATCCGGCCCGCGGGCCGGGAGTTTGAGACCCCTGCTTTATAACCTATCACCACTCTAATCACCGTCATATGGTAGACTAGCATCGCTCCTTTTGCTTTGTATTATCTATTTGGGCTATTCAGTTTTACTTTACCAAGCGGAGGATGTCGGCTTCATACTTTGTAGATTTATAAAGAGATATCAACTTGAAGCTTTCGGGGCGGCCACACAAAAACAGGCGGATCGCTCAGAAAAGATTTTGCATGCAGTGCTTTTTTTCCCTACGATCACTCCTCACTGGTAACAATTGAAAAATTACGCTGGCGCTCTGAAAAAGACGCTTCGTAGACACAGGCTCTAATTGATTCAAGGGAAACTTTTTTTTTTTTTTCCAATCAGCTCTGTCACTGAAAATTAACGAAATTTCTCTCCTTCATCTTCTCCTGATCTAACATGTAAGGGTGTGTGTGTGGAGCCGAAAGTCCTCTGTAACTCTATCGTGCTAAACTATTAAGCCTGCCCACTTTTTAGCGATCTAATCAAATGCAAAGGATTTCTATTGTAACTGAACACTGCTCAAATCGTTTCGGTTGGATGTGACATCTATGATTAATTTGTCGCTGGCTGTTCAGCTTTAAGTCATCGCTTAGGTTTAACCCCTTGTCGACCTGTCTGCCGTGCAGCTTCGAGTCGTGGTTCGACATCAGCACCATCGGTGAAGCGGAGACCTTGGTGGCTACTGAGCGTGAACAGAACATCCTGAGCATGCTGCATCAGGTCAGTACTCTTGAACCATCAGTGCAGTCATGGGAGACTATTGCAATTGCCTTGACATGCCATCATGTGTTGATTGAGTGTGTTTAATATAATAGCATTGGTGTTGAACCGCTTTGTGGGTATGGATCATTTTTCTGTCCTGAAGACAAACGTGCTTTATTCTGGATATAAGTAACATATCACATTATAAACTGTATCATAAACATGTATATAGACTTTTTTTGATCAAATGGTGACTATGTCTTACTTAAATTGATCCCCTTTTAAATGTGTTCACACAAAGCAAACTTTGTTTTCGCATGGGACAATGTCATAACAAAGTCAACTCATCGCCAGGTGACGTAAATACAAGAAATTTGAATAGCGCCATGTCACAAAAGACCATCAGCGTTGAGATCTCCTCCTGTCTTCGGCGACGCCCTTACTTTGCCGAATGGAGGAATAAAACTTTTTTCAAATCTGCGTCATTGTGTCGTTATTTCAGGATCCCTTTGATCTGTTTATTACACTTTTGCAATCAAGAACGCCTGGAGGGAATTTCTTTAAGTTTCACACAAAAGTCCACCTGGACTCGAATGTTAAACTGATTTCGAAAGTTTGGTCAAAGGTCACCATGTGCAAAACATTTGCCTTGCCTTTTAGTGTGAACTGTTTGGCTTTTCTGTGGTTACAGAAAGGGGAAAAAAAATAGTTTATTTTTTAAAAAACAGTTTTCTCATTGTTTCAGATCCTAACTCCATTCCTGCTGAGGAGGCTGAAGTCAGACGTGACACTGGAGATTCCTCCGAAGAAGGAGATCATTGTGTACGCTCCTCTGACAGCCAAACAGGAGGCCTTTTACACCGCCGCGGTCAACAAAACCCTCGCCAAGATGCTGGGCCAGGAAAAGGTTTGTGAGGACTGTGAATTGGTCTCTGTATGTTTATTCTCCATGATTTCTGTGTTAAATACTCTTTTCAACCTTTTTCCAGGTCAGCATATCGGCTGATATTGCAGATATATGCTGATAAGTTAAAGTTCCACTCTGCAACTTTCGTTAGGAGAATCTTCCTTTCTAAAGATAAAGTTTATTTTATGTCTAATGTAAAACAGTGTGTTGTGTCATAGTTGAAGGCTGCAATACAAAGAGCTTAAACAGTTAGTGACGGGCGTCTGAGCTCAGCCTTCATCAGTGCAGTCCAGTAAAAAGCAGAGTGACTGAAAATGCCCGCTCTCTTGGTTTTATTCAGTCAGAGGCTCCCGCGGTGTTGACGTCAAGTGGGCGGCCGAAGCGCGGTTGTCGAAAGGTGGTGGACTACATAGAGCGAGACGGGGACACGCCGTACGACCTGGAGAAATATCTGGAGATGGTCCAAAAGGAGCACGATCAGCAGAGGTCAGTGAGCATCCCAGCTGCACACGAAAAATACTGAATAGATTACTCAACTTGGGTTTCATTTCGCTATCTTCTTTAATATCACTTGCTTATTGATTTATTTTCATTGATCTCCATAGTCTGTTTTTGTTCTCAGCCATATAGGCTGTATGTTTGAAAGGCGGTGGTACTGGTCCTATAACAACCCTTGCCATGTTTTGAAGGCACGTCCTCTACAAAGATGATCTCCCTGATTGCAAGAGAAGCACAACCTGTGGCTGCGTATCAGTCTTAGGAGCCGCTCACATGTTGTGCGTTTTTTTTTTTTTTTACATCCTCAATGTAGTCGCGTGGAAAGCGCACTTGAGAGTGACACCGTCGTGGTGCGCAAGCATGCTCCGATAACGGATAAAAATCAACTTTTAGAACGCCGCAGTGAGCCGGCAGTTATCCCTTCTTTCTTCAGCGAATATCAGTCTACGGTAAATTAATTGAGAAGTAAATCATTTTAATTAAGGACTACCCGGAGCCTTACTAGCCGTCCCACGGAATATTATACTTGCGTCATCTTGCCGGTGAAGTACTTCACAATATCCAGTTGAAAGGTCAGACAAATAGTCACAGACGAATGAGGCAGTAAAGCTACTGTGAGGGATTTACGGTGCTGGAAATCCATTTATTTTTGTTTAGTTTAGTCGGTGACAGTTGATGCCAAATTATTGCTTCATCGTCATCGCAGCACGCAGGTTTTTGCCCCCCCACGCACCGTGGATAAAACGATGAAAGTGGCGGATGAAGCATGTGAAGGGGCCCTAATGCTGCATTCACATGGAATCAACAAATCGTTGCAGTGAACAGCCGGGCGGCAAAACTAAACGTTGCTATAGTGTTGGATAAATAAAAGTGATTTTGCATCTACTCTTTTATGTAATTATTCTAGTAATGCATGTAGCAAAAAAATGCAGCTTTCTCTTATATTCTACTTGTGTGAGGTAACTAAGCAGCGCTGGTTAGTAAATTCCGTCGCAGAGGACGGCAAAAAGTTAAAAATATCGCCGGGTATTCTCTGCTGGCCTCGCCTAATCTTACCTTCGTGCTCTTGCCTAACATGATATCCGTTTTGCCGTCTGCCTGATTTCCATATGAATGCAGCGTAACGTGACTCCTCTCGTCTCCTCCAGCTCGTTTCCGGTGCCGGATGTCCAGAGACCGCTGGATGCCCAGATCAACCTGAAGCTGCAGAATATTCTCATGCTGCTAAGGAAAACATGTAACCACCCCTACCTAGTGGAGTATCCCCTCGACCCCGCCACACAGGAGTTCAAGGTAACATACAGTAAAGGTGGAGCTACAGGTTCTGGTTTAACTTTGGAGCGTTAGTTTTGATCTTCCCCCTCTGCGACGAGATCCCCTCTTAACACTCTTGTGCGTACGTCCTGCAGATTGACGAGCAGCTGGTGCAGAGCTCCGGAAAGTTTCTCATACTGGACAGACTGCTGCCTGCACTGAAGGAACGGGGACACAAGGTGAACCATGACCCAAGTACATGTCAGCCGAAGTGGAGAATTAATGAAGTCTTTCAAGCTAACTATTGATGAGTAGTCCTGCTCAGTTGTGGCCCAAGTACTTACATTCAACCCTTGGTAGGTCTGGGAGGTTTAGGTTATATTTAGATAAATCAGTTATACCCTCTTTTTTCCACCAAAATTAGCGCCATTATGAAGGTTATTTTAAACACAAGAAAAATGCAAAAAGAATAGGCAGTTTGACGTGTCGTTGCACCGGCCTTTCTGTTTTGTTTTTTCCTGCTGTGTTATAGTGGTGCAACGGATCATACAACTCACGGTTCGGATCGAGTTACTGATTGGATCACAGATCGGATCAGCACAAAAGAAAGAAGGAAGGAAATATAAATTTTAGAGGTCCTTTGAGTATGGTGGCTTTGAGGAGATTATAACGGCAACAGTTCCCCGTCGGAAAGGGGAACTGTTTTCCCCGCTTTACAATGCCAAGCGGGGAAAATATTTTAAATATAGTGTATACTGATACTGACTTTATTCGGTGGCTAAGTGGCGGGGAACTGAAGCCGTTAAATCTCTCTCCTCAAAGCCACAAGACTCCATTCATAAAAACAGTATTTAACCCTGCACAACACGGTAGTACACATACTAACCCACTTCAAAAGATCCTAACTAACTCTTTCAACTATTTTCAAACTTAGCACAGCTAATGTTGACTCGGCTAGCGCTGGCTTTCACATCACTGCTAATGTGCTGAGTGTGTGTTTCCATTTGGAAAAACCCGGAAAATAATGCAGATTGAGTTGATCTTTTAAGTCCAACAAGAAATGTACTTGCTTAAATATACTTGAATGTTATTGTCACACCTGTCAATCAACATAAAAAAGATCAAACAATGATTTAAAAAATATCTAGATGTCGGGGAAACAACTATCACATTGTAATTGGAACACAAAGCATACAAATCTGTTCAGATTTTCTGACTTGTTTGTGGTATTGACTCGTCGTTGTGGTCCAGATTCTGATCTTCAGTCAGATGACGTCCATCCTGGACATCCTGGTGGATTACTGCTATCTGCGGGGCTTCCAGTACAGCCGACTGGACGGCAACATGTCCTATTCCGACCGAGATGAAAACGTGAGTTTTGGAAAAACGAGCTCAGTAGATGTCGGAGTGTCTCTGTAATTACTATAATCATCAGGTTGTTTGTCGTTCCCTTCCCCCAGATGACCAAGTTTTCCAAAGATCCTCAGGTGTTCCTCTTCCTGCTGAGCACCAGAGCCGGAGGACTCGGGATCAACCTGACGGCCGCCGACACCGTCATCATCTTCGACAGTGACTGGGTGGGTGCAGATCAACAAATCAAGTGTGGTAAACCTATTTCTGAAGACGGTGTCAGTCAGTGTGTGCTGATGCTTCGCTCCATCTTTCTCAGAACCCCCAGGCCGACCTGCAGGCTCAGGACCGCTGCCACCGAATCGGGCAAACCAAACCGGTGGTGGTGTACCGGCTGGTCACGGCCAACACCATCGACCAGAAGATCCTGGAGAAGGCCTCGGCCAAGAGGAAGCTGGAGCAGATGGTCATCCACAAGAGTGAGTGACTGTACTTCAAAGTGCCTTACAAAAAAAAAAGCCTCTAGAACGCGAAAAAGTGTCATCATACCACGGACGACATGACGATATTTATCATCAAACAATGTCAAAAAATTTGAATTTATATTGTTTCTATCGTGATCTCGGAAAAAACAGAAGCCGAACTGTGTTATTAATGTCATTTGGACAACGCTTTGCGTTCCTTGCACGTGATAGTCTGAACATAGCTAGGCTGCGAACAGCTGTTTGTCTTCGAGATAGCACAACATCCAGGAACACAGACCTGCTACGGTACACAAATGCTTGAACGCAATGTTTTGTTTCTAGACGTTAATGTAGGAACAGTCCATCTGTGGTATGAGAGTTAAAGGAAATAAGCTATGGAGAAGCTGTGCACACGAATGAAGGCTGTGTATACACCTTACATGCAGTAGAGTCAGACCAAAGATGTGAAGTTATTATAGACCTGGTCTATAATCCTCTGTAAAATGCATTTATCAGATGATTTTGATTTATATAACATTTGTTGTCCCTTATGTTGAGATGAAATATAAGTGAGGCTCATATTTAGTTAGTTTTTCCCTATAATTTCACTTGAAACGTTCATTTTGCACTTAGTAAAACGAGAAAATACTCAAAGTAGCAGAATGCAAAAATTGGCCTCACCATGTGATTATTTCATAGACTATACTTTTTTCATTATCAGAAAACATGCTATAACGTGATATGTATCGTTATCGCGATATGAAAGGAACCGCAGTGGGATAGAAGATTTCGTCCATGTCTCATCTTTCGTTCGCTCATTTTCTTTCTTGCAGTGTAGCATGACAATCACAGAACACTTGCGTCACCTGCCTCCAAATCAGCCAATAGCAAAAGTCAATTGATATAGCTGGGTTTCAAGTGGACGTAGTCATCATGAAGCCCCCCATTGGCTTGTGGACTGCTGTTTTGAAGCCTCGAGTTTGGCGATTTCACCGTCGCCATCTTGGATTTTGTCTGTTTATAATCAATAAACAGAAGTTACCATATTTGTAATGCGGAGGAGTAACGTAGAGACACCGTATACGGCTCTGGTAGCTGCAGCAACCCGTTTATCACAGTAAGCCTGCCCTAAAGCATACCCTGCTTTATAGTCTTATTTGACTCTAACTGGACAATAATCTACTAAATAAACATCATGCTGTATTGAAGAAGACTTGAAACTAGAGATTGAGGGGGTCAACTGGCCAGCCAGCGTTTCTCAGATTGGAGTGAGACAAGGAGAAAAGGTTATTTTGTGATCTTCACAATAAAACATCTTTGATGTGACGTGTTGAGTCTTGGCCAATCATCATTAAGATGTCTACACCGGCTTCCCAACCTGTTTATAATGGAAAGCTAGACGGCTTTATATCACGTTAGCTAACGTTGGTGGATTGGCGTCAAAGTTTAAGTTACGTAATGTACCGTTACAGTTCAGACTTGCTGGGTTAAGGCTAACGTCCACTGCGTGCGAAACCTTGTCGACTGTTAACGTGCCATTATCGCGATTTAGGAGGGAAAAAATGTAACGTAATGAAACATGCAACCACCCCCGTGTTCTGGTTCAGTTCACGTGGTCACTTGTTAAACCGGAACACCGGCGAATCTGGTTGCAGGTTTTTGGGGTTTTTTTTTGGTTTTTTTGGGGGGGGGTTTTAAACACAAAGTAGGATGATTTCGTGGAGGATAAGTTTTATGACCACGAAAAATGAGGACCAGATACTGATAAGATGGTCAAAGAGCTTAAGGAAGAGGAGGCTGTTTGTGTAGCGCAGCTTGACGCAGAGCTGAGATGTGAGTGGTGCTGGGCCTGGATAAAGGTGGAGGTCTAAACAGACGTGAAGGGAGAGCAGTACAGCTTCCCCCTGTCAGTGTTTAAAAAAAACTATATGGAAGGCAATGCTAAATGCAGCCTCTGCTCCAATGAGAGAAACTACAGCAACAAGGGCTCACATGCCCTCTCATCACAGAAGTGCACCGGCAAAAGCTGTACACTGTAATGGCCACAGCCAGTGTACTTCCAGTCCCAGGTACAGTTGCTCCCAAGGGCCCTGAAGTAATGAGAGAGGATTAAGGTGCCTGTACCTTAATTTCAGCGGGTTACTAATGCAGATGTGTGTATAGATTGGAAGCTTGCAGTTAAATCGCAGCTATTATTTTACTCTTGATAAACTACCTTAGCCAGAGTAGATTACCATTTTAATTTAAATAAGTGAACGGGATTTAATGCATATTAATTGCAAATAGAAGATGGGCCACAATTCTAACGGCTTTACAGTAACAGTGGAAGTCCATTAATATTAAGCCATACAGTAGCAGGGTTCAATGAAAACCAATCGCGTTATTATTATTATTATTATTACTCTACATTGGTTGCAGCTGAAAACAGCAGTAGATTAGTATTATTTTATCATGCACCACAATTTGAACTGCAAGCACTGGGTGGTCTTAAGTATTGTCCAAATGTGGACTTGCAATGATATTTTCTGTCTTGCTGCTTTCCTCCACAGATCAGTTCAAAGGCGGGAAGGCAGCGCTGAGCCACAGCAAGAGCTGCATCGATCTGGATGAGCTGATGTCGCTGCTCAAAGCCAGAGGCACACAGAAGTAAGAAATCCTCCTCCGCTCTAAACAAGTTCAAATGTTTAGAGAATGTAAAGAGGAACCGAAACTGTCTTTTTAAATGGGAGCAAACTTCCCAACAGAAGTGGAGGGTAACGTTTGTCTCTTTGTCCCGCTCAGGGAGGTGAAAGCATCGAGGGGGAAAGTGATCAGCGACAAGGACCTGCAGCTCTTGCTGGATCGTAGCGATTTGCTGGGTGAGGAGTCCACGATCTGTATATTTGTATCAACAAGCGGTCATGCTTCGTGTGTTACAGTAAAAGCGCCTCTGTAAGGGGCCGATCACACAGACGCGTTGTAACAGGTGCGGACTCATCAAAAACGACCCTTTGGCAAAGCGAGTCCAGTAAACAGCTGATGAGCCGATGGAGCTGGGGTGCGTGTGCAACCAGGCAATCAAATGTAAACTAGAAAATGCATTTCCTGCTGAAAATGCGTTGGGGAGCTGAAATTAATAAAGATAAGAATAAAGATTCGAAGAACAATACTTGGAATGCTGTAGCAGCATTCCAACAATAACGGTGGGGGGGGGGGGTTCAATGCAGATATCAAGCTCTTGCTGTTGCTCTGCTGCTGAATGAGGGGGAAACTAATGTCAATGTCCATTCCAACCACATCTATCGTTATAAAAACAGAAAGTCGGTGGAAGTAAAGCCCGGCTTTTGCTTGATTTGATTGGATGCCTCGTTCAATTGTAACATTGACGAGCGGTGCGACTCCGTGCCTGGTGTTGAAAATATTTAAACTGTCATGCACTTATAAAAACCGCACAACAGAGGAGCCCCATAGGAAAACAATGGTTTTGTGGGAGACGTGTTTCTAGTGACTCGTCTCGGTGTGATCGAACTCTTCAAGGCCCTTTAAGGTTAAATATTCAGCCACATTTTCGGTTGCCGTTTGTGAATGCATTTGACACGGGAATAAGACTAAATTTAGAAGTAGCCGACAAAATTAAGAGAACATTTTAACTAAAGGTTGACTCGTTTTGTCGGCAACTAAAGCTGGACTAAAACGTTTCGAGTTAAAAAAGAGAGAGGATCAAAAATAACTAAAATGTGAACAAACTAATCAGCATATTTTGTCTTAAGACTAAATTCTAAATAGTTGCCGAAATTGATTGATCTCCTCGTGCCCTTGCGTAAAATCTGCCTGTACATTATGGACACTAAGGGGTAATGCAGCATATGCATCCCCAGTAGATATTTATGTGTGGGTCTCTCTTCAGCTCATTATTTAAAAAAAAAAAAAAAAAAAGATCATGTTGTGTGTATATAGTCATTTTTGTTAAAGCGCTATCGTCAGTGGGGCAATTTCAACACGGCCCAACCCTAAAGTGAACTATATGATGATGTGCAGAAGATAAAAACGCAATAACATTGCGCTCGGTGGACACTGTGGATACTTACACACACACACTACCGATGAACGATGGAGCCACATCTCTGTGCCTCCAAAACAACGAATTAAGAAAAAAAAATTTAGCAAAATTCATGGGACGTATACATGTGCCGCCGTTGCCTTTTTTTTTTTTTTTTTTAAATCTATAAAGTGTAAAAGTTAGTCACCACTGGCTGGTAACTGTTTATTTTTATATTCTATGATCACAGTCTCATAATTTCTAAGCATATAAGATATGATTTAATCGATTAGTTAAAGCCGTGGACTCTTAAATCCTACAGAGTGGAACATATTAGTGTATGGCGCGATCCCCTTCTGTCATACCAGCTATTCATCATTGAAAGTTATCTCTAGAAAAGAGTGGGAACCCTGGAGGAAACCTGACTATAAGCTTTACTGCTGCCACCCAGTGTTGTTGCTTTTTTCAGTGCAATGTCCCAGTAAAAATCTTTACACACCTGGATTGGGTTTTTTTTCCGTGCGACTATTTCGCCAGTCATTAATTATGAACTGTTGTTTTTGTCATGAGTACTTTCACACAGACTTGCAGATATAACGTGGTGACTATATTTGACTATATTTTTACCGGAAATCGATTTTTCGGAGCTTTCGCACCACAAATAAAGGCATCAATCAGTTGTAAAACTTTATGAGGATTGTAAAACAACAAAAACACGGAGACTCCGTAGTCGGAACCAAGATGGCAAATTTTATTACTCCTTTCAACCTCGACGAAGGCAGCGCAAGAGCAAATCCACTCCTTCTGTTCTTACCTTTCACAATAATAGCCGGAGACTATTATTGTGAAAATAACTGCTTACCACAGACAAATTTAGTCATTTCACATTTCTGTTTATTTGTCACACCCCCGGTGTGTAAAGGCCTTAACTTTAGATAAATGTAACACTAGTTTTATTCATTAGGGTGAAATGAACCTTTAAACGTGTCTGTAAAGTGAAGACAGTTGACTCTCACAGTACACTGTCTATTTACATTGATAACTACTTATAACAAAATCTATCATGATTTTGTCCGTGGGCTTTTCACTGTTTTTAAACCAGTGAGCTGATGTAAAGTTTTACTTGTATTTTTCAGACAAAGCAAAGGAGAACGTGAAGAAAGAGAAGGCGGGAGTCTTCAAAGTGATTGATGCCAAAGAGTCGTCGGAGATCACGTTAACCTGAGAACACTCACTCATTTGTAGACTTTTTTTGTTTTTTCTCTTTTACTTTAACTGTCTCGATAGTACGAAAGTCTTCAGTATACATGTTCTTCATGTCTCTTTTTTTTTTATATATAAATAAACTGATTTCATGACTTTTATGTTGTGTTTTTTGCGGCATTAAACACATTGTCCTGTCAGGTTCTGATTTCTAGTATTGAGTAGAAATGCTTTGCAAGTGCACTTTGAGTGGCATTGCTTCCTTTTGCCATGATACTAATAACATGGTTTTCTATCCCTATTTATTTAATAATTCCAGGTTTGGGGTTGTTGTGTGTCTGGGGGTCGTATTCACAAACATTCTGACATCTAAACTTGGCCTAAAAACATCAAGCAAGGAGTCCTGGATTAGGAGTGATCTAGGCAAGGATAGGGACAGAAACTTTTACCTTAGTTAAGAGGTAGGAGCGGCCCCACAGGTGCGATTAGTTCAGTCTTAGTGATAATTGGCATAGACTGGACAGTGAAATCAGTGACTAATCATATTTTTGTTTTTTGAGACATGGTATAATTATGAACACTGTTTTATTTATTTTTCCCCACTTTCCTTTTAGAAATCAAAATACACATATGGTCAAATTAAACAAAGGTTTTCTTGGAATGTTGTCCCAACATAAATGCAAATATCCTTGACAAAGTAATTATTATAAAATGTATTACATTTAAATTAAATTAAACCTGGGGGAGAGATTTACATTTAGAGAATGCTTAATGAACAAATCAAGCACAATACTCCAATACAGCTTATTGCTGGCCATTCATAACCAAAATATGTGCTATGAGGGGAAAGATGAATACTGTTTTATATATTGAACATCTGTTGAATAAATCACGAACCATGTGTGGACTTATAAAAGTAGCTTACAAAATTTGTGAAAACACAAGCTTACTGCACAGCAGCCATTTCACATGCTGATCGTTGTTGAATTTATCTTTAGAACTTAATCTATTTTATTATTATTGGGGCAAAGCTGAGCTTTTCAACAGTTTCTCTGATTGCTGGCCAGTCTGTATAAGCAGCGTCGTTGGTAGGCATGTAAATCTATAAACCAGCGAACATTTGCAGTTTCCAAATATCCTCCATTTCTGCTGTTATTGCGTTGGGTGCGAGATGTGAGCGCATCTCTAGTGAGCTTAACCACAAACTGTCATTCAGCGTTTGGAAAATATCTCTCCTACCTCTGTCTTTGCATCATCTTCTCCTCTGCTTAAGAAACTCTTATAAAGTCCTCCTCCCTCCTCGAAATAGTTTTTTTTTTTCACCTTAGCAGCTCTCTTAAGGGCTAAAGTGCTTTGTGAATCTTTTTTTTATCTATACCATTAACTTGTCTTAACTTTTTTGAAAACTCTTGGGATTTTCTTAGAATTTTGTCACTTTGAGCAACTCTTTGTACTAGGATGCTTTATGAATACGGCCCCTGATCTTTACAAGGTACATGACATTCTCATTGCATTTTTCATTCAAACTGCTTTATTGGTATGCGCAAAATATGTTGTTGCCAACTAGTTTACAGAAGATTCACGTATTTTGACACAAAGTACATATTAAATACACAGGTGTCACATATGCAGGTTCTTTATTATACTGATGCAGTCTGCACTTCGACTGCTATACAATACACTACAGTTTAGGACCATTTAATACAATCACTTAAAACCATAGAGATCCATCCATCCACTGAACTTTCCGTCCATCGAACTTTCCATCCATCCATCCACCAAAAAACTCTTCTACCCATCCATCCACCTAGCCATCCATCTAACACACAAACAAATGTATCACGTGGTAAAAGGAGAGAGAAAGGGGGCGATAAGTCAGATGAGGTGGACAGAGATAAAGACTAGAATGCTAAGTAGTAAGCCTATTAGACAATCTGGTGGAAAATGGAGATAGACTGTAAGGCTAGAGAGGTCAGGTTTAGGTGGCTTACTGCTGGGCAGGAAGGAGTGGCCGGATCTAAAAAGACAGTTGAGAACAAATGACAATGAGAGTTAGTATTTAACAGATAAAAGATGTGGCACTAGAAATCATTTCACTTTTTGTTTGTCCTCCAAATTAAGCATTGGCATGTTTACAATATATCTGCTTGTCTCGAAGAAGAAGAAAATAAACATTCCTTAATTATTCTCTGCATTTGACCCATCCCTGTATATATATATATATATAGGGAGCAGTGGGCTGCCAATGACAGGCGCCCAGGGAGCAGTTAAGGGTACAGTGTCTTGCTTAGGGACACTTCGACACAGGACATGGTGCAGCCGAGGATCGAACCGGTGACCTTCCGGTTGGCGGAATATAACCCTCTCTACTCAGTAAGTCACAGTCGCCTAACTGCTCATCTTGACCCAACGGATCATAACTAAAAGAAATGAGGGCCTAAACTATGAACATAAGGGATTATCCTTTAGTAATTAAAAAAAAAAACTACAGCAGTGGGGATTGATCTTCTGCTCAGTCTCACATGCTTTGAAGTTGAGTTTCAGGCCCAGTCATGACTACAATAAAGCCCTACAAGGAACTGCTGTAAAGCCTGTGAGGCAGGGTGTGGCCACAAAGCTCTGTCACCTGCTCACGTCTATTCATGCATCTCAGACTCTACCTGGATCACTGCAGGACTCACTCCGTAGCTGGCATATTCCCACATAAACTCAGGTTGTTTACTGAAACTGCTTAAATTGTGGATTCAAGACTTTTTCTTCACAAAGGACTAGTTGTTATTGTGAGGTAAAGAGAATTTACCTTCATGTACAGATTTTCTTCTGAAAAGCATATTTCATAGAAGCTAAAACATTTTTGTAACTTTGTTAATTAAAACTGAAACTATCTGTTTCATCAGTGGTTTTTACTTCCACCCTGAACATTGTCTACAGGCTACAGTATATTTAAGCTATGGAGCGTCTGAAGTTAGTCCTGCAGTACTTTCAGTCGAACTCTGAGTCCATCTCCAATGGAATCTGTATCATCCTGGCCTTAGTCAGTGTCAAGCTCTACACCAGCTTCGACTTTAACTGCCCGTGCCTTCCTCAGTACAACAAACTGTACTCTCTGGGAGTGATGATCGTCCCGCCTGTCATACTGTTCTTCCTGGGGGTCCTGGTCAACCGACATACAGGCGTCATGATGGACGAGTGGATGAGACCCGTTGGGAACAGATCCAAAAATCCCGCTGTGGTTAAGTGAGTCAAAAATGTTCTTCTTTATTTACTAAAACAGTATTTACGATATCAAGCACATGGAAAAGTGTGGCCAATGTTATTGGTTTAAAGAAATACAAACAAGCCAGATTATCGTTTTCCTGTATACCAGAATGATAATGGTTGTAGCCAGCCTTTCTTTAACGGTAACGCAGCAGTAAACGTTTTTGGCATCGTGTTCTGGCTTCTGTTTGTAGTCAGAGTAGTATTGACCAACTGCATTCGAGCAGACTTTTGGTTGAATGCAGGTAAACAGTTCAAGTGGAGAGCAAAAGAGGTGGAATGCATTGACCGAAAAGCAATATTGGAACCCACTGGCGATGACTACCCTTTTAATTGGTTTAAAATTAGCTTGTAAACTTGTCAGCTTGTGAAACAATCTGGTCGTACACGTCATCTCTCACCTCCAACTTTAGACACCACCTCTCAAGTTGCTAATCGCACTGCAAAAAATGAGCAGCGCACGGAAGAGAAAGTCTTGGCTCGGGTATTTGCCGGCAACAACGGAACCACAGATATATAGCCCCTTGCCCCAACAGGCTTATCTGTAATCAGACCGATTGTTATTTGGGTCAATGCACTGAATCAGTTTCTCAACAGGGTGGGAGTCATCAGAAGAAAGATATATGTAGAATTGAGTATCATCTGCATAATTATAATGGGGAATATTGTTATTATGAATAATATGAGGGAGGGAGCATGGAAAGATGAAATAAAACACGGCGAACTTCGCGTCGAAAGGAGTCAGCTGAGGTGGTTCGGGCATCTAATTAGGATGCCTCCTGGACGCCTCCCACTGGAGGTTTTCCAGGCACGTCCAACTGGGAAGAGACCCCGGGGAAGACCCAGAACACGATGGAGGGATTACATCTCCCAGCTGGCCTGGGAACGCCTCGGGATCCCCCAGAATGAGCTGGAACATGTTGCCGGTGAGAGGGAAGTCTGGGTCAGCCTGCTTGGCCTGTTGCCACCGCGACCCGACCCCGGATAAGCGGAGGAAAATGGATGGATGGATGGACGGCGAATTAAGCTCTGCGGGACCCATAGAAATAGGAGTTGAACGGACATTCTCATTCAAATCAACGTAGCAGGATGGTCAGAGCGGCCTCCATTTTTATGTGTACCGTTGTCATTGCTACCGCTGTAGCGGGCTAACTTCCATATAAACTAAACCAACCACATGTCACGGATTCACTGAGGTGAGCTTTTGGTGTAACAAGTAAAACTAGCAGTGGAGTCGTAACAATGGTTCATCCACCACTCTTGTCATGGTTTAGCACATTGTTATCCCCAGATGACTGTCAGCTTTGTTTGGCTGATTTTCTGTAACCAGTGTATTAGTGAAGCATGATGTAATTAGCAAGCTATCTAGCTAACTAGCGAACAGCTGGCTAGTGAACTAGCTTGCTAATTGCGCCATGCTTTAATGCCACACTGGTCACAGAAAATGAACCGAATAGCGAGCTGGTGCCGGCAACAGTGCTGCATCTAATGGCTCCTCTGCCTCACTCCCTGCCACTCTGGAGAAAGAAAAGCTACCCAACTAACTCGCCATTTTCTTTTTGCATTATTGAAATGGTCACGGAAAGCAGTTCAATGTCAGTTCTACTCCTATTTCAATGGTGGGACCCCATATGATCTTGTACTTGTACTCTTGTACTTAAGGGGGCTGAAGTTACGACAGTATCCAACATATCAAATGTATTGCTGAGCTCCAGAAGAACAAGGATTGAAGTCTTGACTGCATCTATGTTTATTAGAAGCTCCTTTTAAAACTTTGATGAGAGCAGTTTCAGTAACGTGATCATGACAGGGACCTGACTAGAATATATTCTAAGGGCCATTTGCAACCCACTGATGTTTTTAAAGATATCCCCAATGAAGGAGAGATTGGAGAATCTGTAAGTAGAGAGTCTGTAATAACTGATGACAGCAGTATTCATGGAGGTCTTATTTATAACAGCAATATTTCTCTATATTATATCCCTTTATTTTAACTTTAACACTATTTTATGTCTGAGATTCTCACTTTTGAATTCACTCCAATTTTCTTTGGATACATATTAAATGAGCATTGTTGGACGAAGCCTGCGATCTAAGATCGGTAATTGTTATGCATATGACAATAAATAACCTGAACATAAAAACTTGGAACATTTAGCTAATCCTTTAAATCCAGTATTCATTATGCGCTATAGATCGCCCAATATCAAATTTAGCAAAATGACTTCAAGAACTGTACTTTTCCTGCATATGTTGCTGACACTATGCTAAAGGTGATATTTGAGGGTCAAGCTGTGGAAATTGTGAGAATGAAAACGTGTCCGATGTCCTTCTGCAGGTACCTGTTCTCAGCCATGCTTCAGAGGGCCATGCTGGCACCAATGGTGTGGATCCTGGTCACTTTGCTGGATGGAAAGATCTTCATCTGTGCCTTCAGTGTTAGTGTAGACCCTGCACTCTTCTCAGGTATCGGCAAACACATGCAACATGCTTCAAAGAACAACACATTCTACATCCATACTACTCCGTTTTCAAACAAAAAAACGATTTCCGTCCACACGGCCTTTTAGCATCGTTTTCGAAATGATCTCCATCCATGCTAACACGCCTGAAAACGAATATCACATGACTCTTCACGTACACTGGGCATGCGCGTGGGTGTCGATGTAAACAGGAAGTAGATTGGTTGCTTCGTTAAAAAAAATACGACAGAGTAATAAAGTAGTCTTTAATAATGAAAGGTCGTGTTTGATACTTAAGATCTTCTCTAAAATGTTCCTCTATGAACTCAAACAGACACAGTTCGTGGAAAGTTTTAGAAGTTTTATTTTTCAGACTTAGTTACAGCACTGCAGGTCTTGTTCTGTCTCTCTCGCTCTCTCTCTCTCACATATCAAATTTACTTTAAAATCAACACTTACACGTAACATTTTGCTAGATTATGGTCCATAAATGTGGTCAACACACGTCTCTCACTCGTTTCCTCGGTGTTGTTGTCTGTTCTCACTCGTAGCTCTGCTGGTGGCTTAACTATCTGTCCTACTGAATAGCGTTTACTGCTAACCGCGACTTCAGACACTCTGTAGGGCTGATAATGCCGCTGGTCACACTGGTCACTGATCACTGATCGCTCCATTAACAGCTGCTTCCTCCGTAATAATGCAGACTTTTACTGAACAACAGCTGCTAGTAAAGACAACAAGGTCAGCATCGCCAGTAATCAGTTCTCCATGTTAAATTAACCTGGTAGTCGATCGGTATTCAATGTTGTCGTTCGTGAGCTTCTGGGTAAGGGTCACGTGATAGACATGTGACGAATCAGGGAAGGATACGTCATGACTGCTAAGAACCAATCAATTAGCGAACGCGTGTGTGGGCGTCATCGTTTCTAATCGTATCCGGTTTCGGCCGTCCACATGAAAACGCAACCCCGGAGTTTTCAAACTTATCCGACCTCGGGAGCGTTTTCAAACTTATCCGTTTACGGTGCTCTAAAACTCCGGCGTAGTGTGGACGCTCAGTGTAACCGTAGCAAAACATATGCGTTTTCAAATGGAAACGGAGTAATGTGGACATGGCCTCAATGCAATCTATAATGTTACCATTGTTGCATAATTGGTTTGTATGATGTATTATGTGGTATGTTTTTGCAGGTTTGCCCAACAATACAGGTCTGGATGTGATCAAAGTCATGGCCAAAGTGCCCTGCAAGGAGGACATTATCTTCAGGAACAGCTCTTTCCGCAAAGCCGTCTCTCGTTACGTTCGCTGCTATTCTCAAGTAAGCTGTTAGAGCCTCGTCTCTACATACACACATCTTTGTACTTTTCACGTCAAGAAGACCATCAATTGGCGGTATGCTCCGTAAGATCAGGGTCAAGGGTTAGTTTACCCTAATATATCTGGTCTGATCCATGGACAGTATAAATGGATGAAGTGTCTCCACTTTCTCCAACTACATAAGGGATTATCTTTCAATAACAAATTCAAGACTTTTTGGTGCAACCACAACTTTGAAGTTTTAGGCCCAGTCATGACTACAATACAGCCCAACCAGGAACAACTACTGTAAGCCTGTGATGTGAGACAGGGTGTGGCCCCGCAGCTCTGTCACCTGTCTATTCATGCATTCTCAGACTCTATCACTGCAGGACTCACTCCAAAACTGATATATAACTGATACAAGCATATTTCACAGAAGCTAAAATATTTTGTAACACTGTACAAAGGTGAAACCAAAACGTCCCGGACACGGGACGTGAGCTGCCATCTTGCTCTTTTGATGTCACTTGGATTCAGAGTCTGCACAGAGGTGATTGGGGGACTAGAGCCGCGGAATCGAGCTCGCGCCCATAAAACCGCCCAAGCCACTCACACAGCTTGTCAACGGGAGAGCTATCTAGCGGCTACGTTACCACCACATTAGATGTTTGGCTAGAAAGACACAAAAAACAACCATAATATCTCTGTGACTACATTTATGATCAAATTGACACATGTTCTATTACAGACTCGTGATTTAGGTTTTAGTAATCTCTATAATCTCTATAAAGATTCATTCATATACGTTCTTTTTTTGTTTGTCTGTGTAGTTTTGAAGAATCACATTCGATCAGTCTTTAGTGAATTAATTTAATCTTTTGTTTTTTAGCTCTAAAATAGCATCATGAATTACCATCAATTCTCATGACACTGAAGCATTGAACAGAGTTGACATTGCTGGAGTTGGCGCTATGCTGCAATTGACCCTTCGCTAGGCCCGCTTCTGCTCCATCAAGCTGTAGGAGCTACCGCGGAGCCCACACCATCACTAACGGCATCCCCTGAATAGATGGTTTGTAATTTATGGAAAATCTTGCTAACGCTAGTTAATGTTGTGCTAACGTCCTCTGCAAATGTTAGCTCCACAAGTTTAAGTTAAACTATAAAAATGGGGAAACTAATCATTTAACTTGATGAACACAGAGTTGTCATAAGATTAGAATAGATAGGATAAAACAAAGTATGAGAAAACCCACACAATCGCAAGATATACATAGTGCCTATCCTCATCCCTGGAAAAACAGACTTTCACATTAAATGCTGATTTCGCATTTGAGGCTGCAATGCTGAATTGTTGACACACTAGTCACCTGATCAGACTTTTTTAACCTCCGTGTGTGGGAATATTATGAACAATTGGTGCTACTGACAGACGATTCTTTGTGCACTCGTCACAGTCACTTCAGCACATGACTGACAGCTTTTGTTGGCTTTGTGTTTGCTAACTTTCCTCGCCCTGTCTAGGCAGTCGGCTGGTCCATCCTCCTCTTCCTGATTGTACTGGGAGCAATGGGACGCCTCGTCAAGCCCTATTTCGACGACCACGCCGCCTCCCTGCAGACGCGCTACTGGAGCAACTACCTCGACGTCGAGCAGAAACTCTTCGATGAGACCTGCGTCCTGCATGCCCGCGACTTCGCCCGCAAGTGTGTGGTGCAGTTCTTTGAGGACATGAGGGAGGATGCTGTGCTCCGTCTTCCCCACCCGCTCTTCGTCACCAACCCCAAAGTGGAGTGGGAGGATGAGGAAGAGGAGAGACTTCACGGGGTGTCAAAGCAGGAACAGGTGGACCAGCTTCTCAACAAATGGTACTATAATAAACCTGAGCTGGACGTCACAAGGATAGCCCACAGACCCAAATCATGCGTTATCTGGGAGGACCGTAACGGGAAGACTTTATACTCTGATGTGTAGGACACAATGTGCTGTAAAGCTGCAGGGTGAATCATGTCATGACTTCACTACCATGAAGCTATAGCGTCATGTTAGGTGTAGGTTACCTCTGTGTAGCATGGCCGTACGCAGGGTTTTAGAAATGCAGAGGTCAGAATTCAGGGGCATTATTTAATTTTTTATTACCCTGATCTCAATACGTGCTAATTAAGAGGTTTGTAGAGCCAACATTTAGATAACAGCTTGAAAACCAACACAGTGGGCAGGAGCATAAATTATCTGTCAAGTTAAATGTTGCAGTGAGTGATCCACACTACAATCTGTAAATACAAAAGAGGGTCAAATGATCACAAAACATCTGCAAATTAATGTTGGCTATGCTTAATTATTGTGACTAAAGTAAAAGCTACTACACGTCTCTCTCACCCATTGTGTTAACTGCCTCTGTCTCTTTCTCTGTGACTCCTCACTTGTCTTTCCTGCCAGTGTATTAAAAATAATTTGGTAAAAATTATATATACACCTTTTTTATTTCATCCTTATGTTAGACCCAAACATTTTGGATTTGAGTCATAGAAATGTATCTTAAACAGGACAAAAATGTGAGAAAAATGTGTTTTATAACAATATGTTTATACAATAATAATACTATATTATTACAGTATAATTATGTTAGGTGTTGAGTTGTTAATTGAGCCCATAGGTTCAATTGTATAAACCAAAGATCATATATATTTATGTGGTAATGAATAGTTAGGATTGCATAAATTAAGATTTGTGTGTGTTGAACAGCACAGGGACAACATATTAATCCTAACCTGGGCACAGTGGGTAATACCTGCTCTTCCTCTCTCATCGCCATCGCCTTCTCTCCTTCTTTTTCACTCAGTCACCACATCTTGTTTTTGACTTCTAAAAAAGACATTAACTTTTAGGGGCCAAACCATTTTGCGAGGGTAATTTGACTAGGGTGCGACATCTTGCTGGTTTTGCATACAGGTTGTTGACGTGCAGCTCACTCACACAGATTAATGGAAACATACAAATGGACGTTTGGAACCAAATAACTCTAGTCTACAGACTCTCACAAAGATACTATTTACTACTTCATTGTATTTAGATTGCTTTAAAGAAGCACTTATAAATATTTCGACATTAACAATCTATCAAATCTGTGTATGTGTTGTTGACGTAGTTACAACCACTGTTAATTTATACCAACTCTGCAGTTCCCCTCAGTGCTATGGAACCTTTAGCAGCTAAAGACAAACACTACTTTAAATGAATGATGATGATGCTCCTTAACTGCTGGATATATAAATAGGCAATTGTTTGCTAACATATTCACCATTTTGAAAGAAGAAATAACATTCTTTGTGTTACAAATTCAATTTGAAATCCAGAGAAACAAAAGACACTTGCTTATTTTAACACTCTCAGGGGTTTTGTTGCTACAACCTCACTTTGTCTGATATTACCAGTAGTTTATGTTGGCTAATGTTAGATAATGTAAGCTATATTTCCTACTGCTTCTTATCAATGTTCTAATTGTCAAAGCTCTTCATTTACTTCTGAAAGCAAGCATATCCATTTATTTCCTAAAAAGCTAAAAGAGTTGCACGTGGAAGCATAGCATAGATGGGTGACAAATCAGAGGAACAAGACTAAAAGTCTACAGCTAAGCTAGCGGCTCTGTAACGCTGTGTCGGCAGCAACCTCCTTAAATTTGCATTCTTTCTAATGGCCATCAGGGGGCCACTCCTCCGGTTGCAAAAGGTAATAGGATTGGCGTTTTTTGACTAAACAGTTCTGGAGTTTCCCCCTGAGAGCTACCTTCAAGGGATTCTTTCTGCAACGCCAATAGAAATGTTTAAGTGACGTAGCTACGCCAATAGAAATGTTTAAGTGACGTAAGCTACGCCAATAGGAATGTTTAAGTCACATAAGCTGTCCAAGTTGCTGTAGTTTGCTTTCCTTAAGCTCTCTTAGCTTTTTAGGTAAGAAGGAATAAACAACTCGGTTACAAGCCACAATCATACAAACGCAAGCAAAATAGCGGTCACAAAAGTACTTTTTTTCTATTTCAGTATTTCAAGTGTCTGTGCTTTGTGCTATTGGTTTAGCTTGCAGTCCATCTGTCTGTGTTTCCTTTCTTCTTTTGTATGAGCTGTTTTTTGTGTTGTCTGTTGTTCTCACATCTAACAGGGTTTTGTTTAATGGCGGTTGACAGTTCTGGTTCGTGTGTTCAACAAATGTTTGTACAGTAACATTACTTATGGTTCCTTTTGTGCTTGGAGAGTATCCACAAAAAGAGTCCCTCAAAACGGCATTCTAAGAAATACAATTGTTTCTTTTGGTGCGAACACAATAAAAAAGGGGGTTTTAGAACGTTGTTTTTACGGCCAAAACACCAAACTTGAGGCTTCAAATACGGCAGTCCAGAAACCAATGGATGGCATCACGGTGACCACACCCACTTCTTATTTACACTCTATTGGCTGTACTTAGGCCAAATTGTTGTTTTAGCTAAATGCTAAAGTTAGCATGTCAGGTATCATGTTTACCATCTTAGTTTAGAGTGTTAGCATGCTATCATTTGCTAATTAGTACAAAACAAAATACAGCTGAGGCTCGCGGGAATGCCTTTAGTTTTGCAGATATTTGGTCATAAACCAAAATATCAGAAAAACTAGGATTTTGAGGTCATGATGGCGCAAGATGAAAACTTAGAGGATCACCAAAGTGACAATTTCAATTCATCCTGAGGGGGAACATGAATTTAATGAGAATCCATCCAATAGTTGTTGAGATATTTGTAAATAATACACATTAAGGCCTAATTGTTCTAGTGGCTGGCAAACAATTTTCCTCTAAATTTCTGATGGTCAGTGCTGAGAGACTAACCCTAACCAAGAAGCAAGAAGGGTCAAGGAGAAATGGTAGAGCGTACAGGTCCAAGTGGAAAAAAAACAACTAAATCTTTTGGGATTTTTCCAAATGAGAAAGAAGGGTAAGAAGTTAGTCAAACTTTTTTCGTAAGTGCCAGTTTAGCTGGGTTAAGCCAGAATCATACTGGCCATCAGGAGCAGCCTCTCAGTTCCTTGTTAGTACCGCTTTTTTTTGTGGTATTGCTATCTGAGCAACACATGTTTTCATTTACAGACCACATTTTTTCTTCCATTGGGGAGGAAACCAGAGGGCAGTTCCTGACTGTGATGCTACATCCATACTACTCCGTTTGTACTTGGAAGCAGAGTTGTCAAATAGAAACGATCTCCGTCCACACGGGAGTTTCAGCATCATTCTCGAGTTGATCTGCATCCACAAGGCAGCCTTCGAAGGCGGACAGCACGTGATCATTAACGTACACTGGGCATGCGCGTGACGGTGTAAACAGGAAGTGGATTGCTTGCTTAGTTAAACAAAATACGACAGAGTAATAAAGTAGTCTTTAATAATGAAAGGTTATATTTGATACTTAAGATCTTCCTCTATAAACTCAAACAGACACAGTCCGTGGAAAGTTTTAGAAGTTTTATTTTTCAGACGTAGTTACAGCGCTGCGGCTCTCTCTCATATCAACTTTACTTTAAAATCAACACTTACACGTAAACGTTGACTAGATTATGTGTCCATAAATGTGGTCAACACACGTCGATCACTCGTCTCTCACTCGTTTCCTCTGTGTTGTTGTCTGTTTGTCACTCCTAGTGTAACAGACTTGGAATGGCATTGAAGGAGACAACTCAGGGTAGTTTTCCAGGATTTATTCGCTGCAGAAGACAACATAAACCACATTAGTTTCTTCCTGGTCTCACTCTCTCTTTATACATCCGCTCCTAAACATGCAAGACAACAGAATTCACACAAAGGAATGCCAAAGTATCTGCGTCGTTACGTTATATGACAGGGCAGCCTGACGTAAAAGTAAATGGTGCCAAAAAGGCTAACTGAAACAGCCACTAAACTTATATTTTCCACAGTCAAAACGGCACGTAACAGCTTGATAAGGTCATCGCCTTAGCAGTTACGTTAAGTAAGTAGCGTAAACAGTTACATTCCCGAAGAAAACAACAAAACAGTGCAACAACATTATTCCACACAACTTACCCTCAACAGTACGAAACACCACTGTGAGGGGAAGTCGGGACTACGGGTGCTTTGGAGGTACAAAAGAGGCAAGACGCCGCTTCCGCAGGAAGCATTAACAAAATAAAATGCTAAATAAAAATAGCTCATAAAGATAGAATTCACACATACTCAACAGAATAATAAAGTACATTTTTAACTCTGTTACATCCACCCCCACTGAATTTTAGCGAATATGAGCACCGACTACACAGTATGCACTACAGAAAACACTACAAATCGACAAATTACAAAAGGGTCATCATCAAGAAAACCAACATCTAATGTATCCCATAAGGATAAAGTGGTATGAGAGCAGCGCTTATCCCTCAATCCAGCAACTGGCAACAGGGTGCCTTGTACACCCCACAAGACCCAAACACAAAGTGCAGTGTAGTACAGGCTCATGTCAGATAAGAAAATTAAAACAGTGGAACATTATACCAAAAAAAAAACAAAACAACAACTTCCAAACCCATCATTGGTATAAGGTACATGCCTACGGTTTCAATCAGGAAACACCAGGAACATAGATTGTCAAACAACTTTAACATTCAACTTCTCCTGAACAACATCCTGCCTGGACATTGTCTGAATGAGCCTGTTCACAGGCTTGACTAAGCGACCAAATCTTGACCTGACCTGTGCATTAGAACGACCACAGATCGTGGGTGAGGTCTGAACATCAGTGTGCAAAATGTCAGATGTATTATCTGTCTGTGTCATGGTGTCAAGATCAGAGTCTGGCTGTCTCACATGTGTTGAGACACCTCCAACAGTCACAGAGCAAGAATCATAAGTCACAGACTGATCTTCTATGTGGTCTTCAAGTGAAACAGAAGCATCCTGGGGATCAGAAGCAACACTTCTTATGTCAGAAGCGTCTGCCACAGACAGACTTGGTGCAAACAACTGAGTAATCCAATCAATGGTTCTCCTCTCCGAGTCCACAGGTACCGAATCAGCCAAGGGGCCCTGTCCATCTTCCACAGTCATAGGTGAGTGTCTGTCACTTTCAGTGTCAAGGCTTTCACTAGCCACACCATGAGGCTCACCCTCTCTCCCAAACAAGGTCTCTTCTGCCTCACTCACATCGTCATTTCCTGAAGCCGTGGATCCTGTAACCGGCATGGATGAGGCAAGGTCAGACATTCCACATGTGTCCCCCACAGGGAGGAAATTGGCCAGCATCATCAAGTTCCTGTGTATCACCTTTTCCCGTCCAGTTACTGTGTTGCGGAGTCTGTACGTGTGTGTCTCTGTATTCACGTCCACCACGGTGTAGATGGTTGAGTCCCACCTGTCCGCAAGCTTCTTCTTACCCCTTTCCTTCCTGTTGGCCAAGAGCACCCGGTCACCGATTTCGGATCCCTTTACTTTCCTGTTGTACAGCTGAGCATGTCGATTCTGCTCCTTTGTAGCATGGACCTGAGCAATAACCATTGCTTCTTTTAGATCATTGGCGAGGCTCGCTACATACTTCTCATAGCTTATCACAGCAGAGTCACGAAGGACAGTACGGAAGAGTACATCAACAGGTAGGCGGGGAATCCGGCCAAACATGAGGTAAAAGGGGGGATTAGCCTGTTGTCGCATGAGCTGTGCAGTTGTACATGAACGTCAGAGTCTGCAAGCGCCGCGGCCAGTCGGCCTTCTCTTCAGGGGGCAGAGCACGAATCATGCCACCTAAAGTTCGATTGAAACGTTCCACACTCCCATTACCCATCGGATGGTAGGGGGTTGTGTGCGATTTCCTGACACCAGAGACCCTGAGAAGCTCACTTATCAGCAGACTTTCAAAGTTAGCACCTTGGTCACTATGGATCCTTTCCGGGAATCCAAAGACACAGAAGTACCGGTCCCAGAGAACTCTTGCCACCTGCTTAGGTGTTTGGTCTTTACATGGAAATGCCTGGGCCATCCTCGTGAAATGGTCAGTTATCACCAAAACATCGACAGACTTGTTCCTGGAGTCTTCGGCCGACCAAAAGTCAATGCAGACCAACTCCAGTGGCCTGGTTGTTGTTATGCTCTCCAGGGGAGCCCGTCCCTCAGGCTCGATGGTCTTGCTGACGATGCATCGTTGACAATGCCGAACGTAGTCTCTCACGTCTCTGTCAAGGTTTGGCCAGAAAAACCTCTGTGTCGCCAAGCTGAGGCTCCTGAACTGAGCTTGATGTCCAGCCCTATCGTGAATCCCCTGCAGAACCTCGGCCTTAAGTGAGTCAGGAACAACATATTGAAAACGCTTCGCTTTGGTTTTCTGGTCTTTTGAAATCCTGTACAGCACACCATCACTCACAGTGAGCCTATCCCAGTGCTTCAGATACCTTGTGACAAGGACAGACTCATTGAATCTTTCCCTCCTGGAAGGCCTCCGACGTCTCTCAACATAGGACAGAACACGAGAGAGACTTCTATCCTCCAACTGCTTATCACGGAGGTCCTTCTCTGTGTAGGCAGGTAAGGCGTCCTGTCCAGGTGGAACCAACTGAGGTAAGTACTGCAACACCTCAACAGCACGGGCCCTTGGACCCGCATCCCATTCCATGTGTGACTGTAGTACAGCAGACACATCCTCCATTGCAACAGACTGAGTGTGCATGTGAAGCGGACTGCATGCAGACTGGTTATTGTTACTGAGAGACGAGGGTTCCCTGTGCTGGCTGGATGACCGAAAGGCATTTTGGACAGAGAAACTTGACATATCTTTGACCTCTGTGAGAAGACCTGCATAGGGTTCAGCAAGTAGCCTGTGACCAACACTCCCCTTGACAAACAGCACACGGCTCAGGGCATCAGCCACGATGTTCTGTGGACCTGGAACATACTTGATGTCAAAGTCGTAACTCGCCAACTTGGTTACCCAGCGTTGCTCACAACAATCTAGCTTCGGCTTTGTCAGGATGTGAGTCAAATGGTTATTGTCTGTTCAGACTGTGAATGTGTGGCCTTTCAGCCAGTGACTGAACTTTTCGCAGACTGACCATTTCAAGGCCAGAAACTCCAACCGATGAGCTGGATAGTTCTTTTGGGACTGAGACAATGACTTGCTAGCGAAAGGAATGGGCCTGGCTCGTGCTTCTCCCTCCTGAATTTGAAACAGAACCGCGCCTATGCCATCCAAGGAGGCATCAGTTGACAGCATGAATGGACGGTTGAAATCGGGATGAGCCAAGACAACACTGAACCAGCAAAGTTTTCAGACTCTCAAAAGCCTGTCCCTGTTCCGGGGTCCAGTCAGCCGCATACAACTTCCTGCATGACAGTTTGTTTTTATGTTTACCTTTTCTTTTCCCACCTTTCAACAGGTCAAACACTGGCTTGGCAGTGGCAGAGTATCTGGGCACGAAGTGTTGATAGTAATTTACCATCCCCAAAAAGGATCTTATCCGCTTCTGGGACGGGGGTCACGCCATCAGTCTCCATGAGATCAGTGTCTGTCATGTTGGTGATGTTCTCAACCTTACTGGGGTCTGTTGAAACACCATTCTCATCAATAATGTGGCCAAGAAACTTTACAGACCTCCTGAGGAAGAAGCACTTTTTGGGGGCTAGCTTCAAGTTATGGCCACGCAGCCTCTCAAACACCATCTCCAGGCGCAGCAAGGCAGTCTTCTCATCAGGCGCAAACACCAACAAGTCATCCAAATAGCATAGCAGACTCAAATAGTTTTGGTCTCCGAAAATGTTGGTCATCATGCGCATGAAGCTCCCAGGACTGTTGCAAAGGCCCTGCGGCAGACGGTTGTACTCATACAGACCCATGGGAGTGGTGAAGGCGGAGTACTTCCTATCGTCCTCATGGAGTGGCATGTTGTAAAACCCGGAGGTCAAATCCATCGTGCTGAAAAGGCAGTTGCCTCCTAGCGCTGCCAAACAATCTGCCTGGTGAGGAAGAGGGTGAGCATCCTTCAGGGTCCTTTTATTTAACCAGCGAAAGTCTGTACAAATGCGGAGATCACCGTTCTTCTTCCACACAAGCACCAATGGTGAAGCGTATTCACTGGTTGATTTTCTGATGATCTCTTTTTGCTCCATCTCGCTCAGCACCTGGCACAACTTTTGATACTGGCCAGGGGGCACTCTCCTGTATGGGAGTCTGAATGGTCTGTTGTCAGACAGGTGTATGCGATGTACAAAGTCCTTTGCCTCCCCACAATCAAGATGGTGGCGTGAAAAGACATCCTCATACTGCAAAACAAGATCAGCCATCCTCCTCTTACAGTCCACTGACACTTCACATGACTCAATGTCAACAGTACTGAGCCCAACTGAATCGAGCTCGTCTTTGGCAGAATCTGCATCAACAGTAGGAGGCACGGTTGATTGGGTGCAACCGGCCAGGGGAACCTCTGTCTGTTCAGCAACATCCATGTCCTCCAGCGCCACACATGTGTATACATCAGCCAGCTTTGCATTGCGCCTCAACAGCACAGGTCTGTCAGATGTATTGATGAGCTTTAGCGGGACCCGCCTGTCTCCCCACAGTGTAGTTACAATCTTTGCGACCAGAACACCTCTGGGAGCCGAATGGGACAACGTGGGCTCTGTTATGACGGTGCTACCTGGGGAAATAGCAGTGTTCTTGGGCAGTTTTCCCCAGATAAGATATTCACGGCCAGGCTCAAGGTAAGTGGCTGAGTTACATCTGACTGTACCGACCTTATCAGGAACATCTCCTCCTTTCCAGGGGTTCACACCTGAGAGCATAGACAGGAAACATTCTGTTTCTGGGTCTTCGTCTGGGCAAGGTCCAGAGACTGTTTTCCAGTAGGACTCACATAGCTTAGACTGATGCAGGATGTGTTTTATAACATTTGTCCCGAGTCTCAACTCATCGTGCTGTCCTGGGACGAGTGTGGGAACAAACATCTTACAGCCATACACTCCCATTTCCACATCAAAAGCACACTTGGGCCTAACACGAAGTCTGCCACATCCAACAAGGACTACATTCACATCAATCCGTTTTTGGTCGGTTATCACTCCAGCATCTCTCAGTTTCATCTCAGCTGTTTCATTAATGCTACATGCCATGGAACCACTGTCCAACATGCCTCATATTGTCACTGTCCCACCCATCACCACAGGTGTGTAGAAAAGACTGTCACTACTGCCAACTCTGTGAATATTCTGATAAAGGACAACTTCAGATTCATCACGAGTCTCTCACAGATGTGTAAACAGTCTCAGCATCAGACATGTCATCTATTTGGGAGTTTGTTGTGCGACCTGTACTGCCTCCCTCGGAATACAGGTCAGCTAGGTTCCCTCAGTTTGGGAATGGGGGAAGTTCTTGGCAGGGCAGTTCAGTTTTGTGTGGCCAGGGGCGTGGCAGGCAAAACACAGTCTCTCGGACATACAATGTGTAGTGGTGCTGTGGTCCGAGTCATTACAGACCTTACAAACTGCCTCTCTGACGCGTTTCTCACGATAGGCACGCTGGAATCTCCCACCTTGCATTAGACGTGCAGCAGCGCGCAGTTGCATTTTCTCCATCATCTCCTGAAACATGTCGACCACACGAGTGAGAAGTCTCTCCTCTGACTGTTGGAGATTCTGTGCCACAGCTGGTACAGAGGGATGACTCATAGCATGAGGCTCGCCTTGACCTGGGGTAGATGCAGGAGAGGGGCAAGGAGGATGACGCACATGATGCTGGCCTTGGAGAGAGAAAGGTGAAGGACTCTGAGTAAGACACTGCACAGACACTGTCTGACTTGTTGATGGCTGACTAGGCTGCTCAGAGGCGGCTGCAGTGACGTAGTTTTTCAGTTCTGCAGTACCAGCGGCTCCACCACTGGCCCTCAACTCCCTTTGATAGTCATCAATCCTCAGCTGAACATCACGTGAGGTCCATTCATGAAGTGGCTTACACTTTAAGGTGCAAGACAACTCTGGGTCTGGGCAGTGTTTGACGAACATGAGAGCCACTTCATCATTCATGTTCTCTGTCCGCTTCCCTTGTCTGCTTAGGCCCTCAAGTGCTAGGTCGGCAGCTTTGTTGAGTCTTATCCAGTAGTCGACTGGATTTTCTCTGTGCTTAGGCAGAGTGGCATAGAAGTCTGCTAGAGGGAGACATGAGGGCGCAACACTGAAGTAGTGGAGAAGAACATTGTACATCAGTTCAGGTCTCTGTTTAACGTCAAGTGTAGGATCACTACGCAAGGCAATCTTCACAACATCCCTGGCCTTGCCCATTAAATGGCTCATAACTTCCTCGGCTTGGTCGCACACAGGAATCTCGTTTTCTGAGATGTGTTTTAGTCATGTCAATCCAGTCCTGGACTGGGTATTTGTCGGTGTTATCCCCTCTGAATGTCTGGAGTCCTTTATCAGAGTTTAGATGGACTGTCACATGTGGAGAACGGTCATGTCGGTCAACATCATGTCGGTGTGTTCTGGGTGGTAGTAGTCTGGTGGTCACTGTTCATGTTTACTACACCAGCTGACATCAACTTTGCTACAATGGATTCCCCAATTTGAGCACCTAACTGCCCTACCATGTCTGTAAGATGATGAATAGCATCCAAATCACTGCCAGGAGTGGATGTGAGGGGACCGTCTCTCATAAGCCCACTAACAGGAGTACTACCTGGGCTCTGACCTAGCCCTGTATCCTCACAACTATCACGCGTTAGCTTAGAATGTCCCACATCCCTACTGCCCGCTATATGACTGAGCCAAACACCCCTACCTTTTGGCAGACGAGGACTAGCAAACTCATCCATTGTTATTTTACCAGCCGTTTATAACCATTAAATGGACTTGCGTTGTGTGTACTTAGAACCAAAATGTAGTAGAAATGCAAGTTAATGTAAAAAATAAAATAAAAAAATAACCAACACAATAAGGATAGACAATTCAAAGCACTATGCCCTATTCCACAGTCTTTTATAAACCTTATATGACCACAGTAGTCTTGAAAAGGCTGATCAGGACGGCAGCACAGCATCCACAGCGACGAGCATCAAGCTGATCTGAAGATCTGGGTCATGGCACCAGTGTAACAGACTTGGAATGGCATTGAAGGAGACAACTCAGAGGGTAGTTTTCCAGCATTTATTCGCTGCAGAAGACAACATAAACCACATTAGTTTCTTCCTGGTCTCACTCTCTCTTTATACATCCGCTCCTAAACATGCAAGAAAACAGAATTCACACAAAGGAATGCCAAAGTATCTGCGTCGTTACGTTATATGACAGGGCAGCCTGACGTAAAAGTAAATGGTGCCAAAAAGGCTAACTGAAACAGCCACTAAACTTATATTTTCCACAGTCAAAACGGCACGTAACAGCTTGATAAGGTCATCGCCTTAGCAGTTACTAAAGTACGTAGCGTAAACAGTTACATTCCCGAAGAAAACAACATTATTCCACACAATTTACCCTCAACAGTACGAAACACCATTGTGAGGGGAAGTCGGGACTACGGGTGCTTTGGAGGTACAAAAGAGGCGAGACGCCGCTTCCGCAGGAAGCATTAACAAAATAAAATGCTAAATAAAAATAGCTCATAAAGATAGAACTCACATAATACTCAACAGAATAATAAAGTACATGTTTAACTCTGTTACACTAGCTCTTAATAGCATTTATTGCTCCTGTGGTGTAGCTCCGCCATGGGATGAGCTGGGTCACCCAGCAGAAAAACAGGGACAGCATCTTCGCCCTCTATCAATTCTTTAGGGTATGGGGGAATTGCTCCATCTTTTAGGGCACAACTCTAGCTCTGAACATAATGTAACATGTCCGACTAGCTAGCTTCTAAGCTAATTTTAACATTACCGCCAATGGGGAAATGATAACTGCAATTAGCATTAGCGAATATAATATATCTTCGCACATCTTTTCATGCTTCATACAGACATACTTACAGACTAAGGTCTCTCAAGGCTACCAAAGGGAAGAAGTAAAACGAAGCACCGTGTCTTCTCATTAGAATCTAAAAACAACGAGGCACTAACTGTTGTTGTAACTCGTAGCTCTGAATAGCATTTAAGGCTAACTGGCTTGGCCGCTCCATAGGGCTGGTCACGGCGCTCGCTAATCGCTCCAACAGCTGCTTCCTCCACAGAAATGCAGACTTTACTGCCCTTGAACGTCTTTAAAGCTTGAAATTAGTTATCCATGTTGAAATGAATTACTGGTCGCCCTGGCTGTTTGTTTTCTTCCGGGTACGGGTCACGTGATAGTGAGTGTGACGAATCAGGGACGGAGACGTAATGGCTGCTAATAACCAATCCAGTAGCGAACACGGGTGTGGGGCTCATTTTTTCTAACACACATCCGTTTCCGACCGTCCACACTCAACCAAAACCCCGGAGTTTTCAAATACCTCCAACCTCTGGGGAGTTTTCAGACTCCTCCGTTTAGGGTGCTCCAAAACTCCGGCGTAGTGTGGCCGCTCAGTGTAACCGTAGCAAATACGGAGTAAAAACGGAGTAGTATGGACATGGCCTGAGTCACCACTGGTGCCCAGACTGCTAACACAGCCTCAAAGTTGCACGCAAAAGCAGGGACTTCTCAGTACAGTCTTTCCCTGAAATTGCACTGGATGATAAAAATGGATTAAAAAGTCTGAGTCACATGTCCAGCCTCAGGATACTGCCAGAGCGTGAGTTTGCATGACTACATTCTTTATTTTCAATAAAGTGGCAGTATTTTTATATATAAAAAAAACATTCATCTCAGTCTGTTTTCCACGGTCTCTGGCTTCTTTATTGATTGAGTAAGTATGACGTAAGTGTTAGACTAATTTTCTGCAACTAAACTGAATCCATTCATTACAAAACAGTCATTCAGACTACAGTAATAATTAATGCGGTGTGCTCGTTTAAAACCGAAAAAATCTCAAACTTATTGTTTCCTATTTATTTTCCTTTTCGTTCTCTGACTGCAGCCTGACAGTCCTGTAAACGACACTCATAGCTCTTCAGTGTTATCCTCAGTAAAGACACAACATCCAAACATGGCTGCTGCAGCACTCGTCACAGAGAACTTTAAGTTTGTGTCCCTCTTCTTCAAGAGTCTGATTGCACTGGGCACTGTGGCCAGCCAGACTGCATACAACGTTTTCTCCTTTGAATGTCCTTGTTCGTCTGGGAGGAACTACCTCTACGGCCTGGCTTCCATTGGTGTTCAGGCGCTGGCATTTTTCCTCGTTGGAATAATGATGAACAAGAGCACGTGGGACCTAGTGTCTGAGTGTCGGCTCAGAAGGTGCCGGAAGCTGTCGGGAGCCTCTGCCTTTGCGCTGCTGGGAACCATCATCGGTCGAGGTGTGGTGGCGCCGATAACATGGGTAGTTTTCTCTTTGCTGCAGGGCCAGGCGTACATGTGTGCCCTCACCGAGTTCGTTGACCCCGGCACACTGGAGGGCTTCCCCTCAGGTCAGGGGTCGATGGTAATGGCGAAATTCCCATGTCAAGACAGTGTTCCAACAGAGCTGCAACGCTTCTGGGCCGAAGTTGAGCGACGACTGAAATATGAATCTCAGGTAGTGGAGTACTTTATTTTATTTTTTTGCAGGTTTAGTGTAGCTATTACAGGTGCACACAAGTAAGGGATGTTAAATATCAATCAAAAATAAACGCCAGCTGCTACTTTCGATCTTATTTGCCATCAAATCCCATGAAAGGAATACATTTTGGGAGGCATTTATTTGCTTTCTTTCCAAAAAAATAAGCGAGAGGCTTGAAACCAATCTTGTTTTTTTTCCTTAAGTATGGAGCTGGAGTGTGGACATAGTTAGCCTAGCTTAGCATAAAGACTGGAGGCAGATGGAAACAGCGAAATTCAAAAATACACCTACAGCCTTACGTGCTGGAACTATTTATTGATGCACAACAGCTGTATCCATCTGCCTAGTGCTTCTGTGTAGCATCCCCGTCTACGGTGCAGGTTGCTAGATACAATGCGGTCACTGAGTAAAGGTTTTGGTCGTAATAGCACTAAACCTGGCAATCTCACTGTGAAGAAAAGACTTCAGGAGGCTGCACAGAGTCACTGAACACTGTGACAAGAATAGTTTCATTATGTAGCTTGTTTCTGAAGCTACATTAATGGAATTGGAACTTTTTGGCACATGTGGAGCAATGACTTATGTTTGTCCACTTATTTTAGTATATAGTCGCTACGATAAAATGTTTAGCTTTATGGCTAAAATTAAAGACATCTCATTCCAAATGTAAGTCTATGGGGGAAAAGTGTCTTTGGGCACAGTGGCATCACATGAAGGTCCCCGGAAATTGTAATTCCATCGTTTTTGGCCACTATGTAAAATTTGCTTCAAGGCCCAGCGCTCTTCCTGCAGGGTTGTTAGAGAGGGGAAGAGTAGACAAAGGTAAAAATATGAACCAGCAAACACAAATGTAACTGATCCATTGCCTCAGAACCTACTAATGGTGTTGGCCTCAATGCTCTCTGTTCTTTTCAGCTCATAGGCTGGCTGCTGGTGGCAGTAATGTCATTGACGGTGTTCCTGATGCTGTGCATGAAGCGCTGCTCCTCTCCACTTGGCTACCAGCAGGAGAATTACTGGTCCCAGTACCGCTCTGATGAAAAGACCCTCTTCCAGCGCACTGCGGCTGTCCACGCCCGCCTGCTGGCCGCGGAGAACGTTAAGAGCTTCTTTGGCTTTGGGGCACTGGAGCAGCTGGCTGAGCACCAGAGTGCCGGTCCCATCTGTAGCACCAACTGGAACAGGGTGACTGGTGTCTACCTCTACAGGGAGAATAAAGGACTGCCTCTTTAGAACAGGCTCAACAAATGGGCCACGTACAGTCTGGAGAATAACATGGAGGCTATGGAGAAAGAGATGGACATGCTCAGCTGACCGGATCCTTCTGGAAGGTGGTCCAGTGACTGCTAGCATAAAGGCCTCAGTATGTTTCAAACAGAGTGGGTCATCAAATAGCAACTACAGTGTAACCCCCTCCCTCTTCTCCTTTCCTATTTCATAACTTTCTCTGACAATTGTCGTAACTTTCTGAAACAGACAATCTTGACGGTCACACACACTATTTCTGCCACATTGCCTTTAGGCAGGTTTCGATGATAAGACCAATTTAGTTTGAAACATACTGAACCTTTTAGTTCACCATCAATACAACTTTGGTTATGCTCCCAGATGGACACTTGGACAGCTGTGGACAGCATTTGGAAGACAAGTTTGGAGGGCACCAATGCACGGTAGATTGCTATGCTACCACTTGTAGCGTAGTGGTGGCGTGGACACGTCTGGACAAGTCTGCTTGGTCACACACATATATATGTGTTTATATATGTTAGTTTTTGCCATTCAAATTATCTGAAAAGTATCCTTTTGACTTAGTGTTTCAATGTGATCCAAAAATATAAAATTTTAAATAATCCGAGCGTATAGGGCACTGAGGTACGTTTACCCCTGGTATTAACATGTGGTCTGTGTCTTGATATGTTCACCATGTTTGTTGACAAGCCCGCCTGCTTTGCCCACCTAATTTGCAAATCAAATTTGATCACAACGCGGGCTGAAACTAGTCAAGGAAAAAGCTTATTACCAGGTGTAAATGTGGCGCTAGATAAAGGATTTGAATGTAATTAAGTCAGATTCCTCATTAAAAGATTCAGATTATTTCTAGTTCCATTTGCAATGTTCCTTTTAAAAGTTAACTTTGTTCATTAATAAACTCAAAACCATTACGTGTGGCAGTATACTGTCTATGGGCTGAATCTGTCAGAGTACTTTTTAGTTTTTTAAAATGTTTTCATCTCTTTCAATAGGCTGATAACAATGAGGCGTGGTCTTTTGTCATGCAGTATTAAATCCCCAACATCCAACTTGGGGATGGTACCTGTGTTTCTGTACTGATGCTTTATTCAACAACAAGAATCTGGCCAGACAGATTCCAATGCTCGGGTCTGCAAGCCAATAGTGTAGTGGACCCCAGCCGGACAATAGTGAAGCGTACTGATGTTTCCAGAGGCTTTTATGTGTCAGGGCCAAAAATCTAAACTGAAAAAAAAAGATTTTAGACTGTAAGAAATAAGATTTGAATCTGAAACATGAGAACTCAAATATCAAAATATATATGAAAGTGAAAAATGAAAATAAATATTTTATTCAAAACAATTCCAGAACTGAATCAAAATTATATTCAACCCCAAAAAACTTTTCATTCACTTATTTTTTATTTTGAATACATTGCTGTATTTTTCAATGTTCAAGACCACAACTTGAACTTTAAGGTTCAAATTTTTTTTCAAATGATCAAAACTATTGGCCTGGATTTGGCTCCATTGTCAGGTTTTGAAGGCCAAAACGGTAATAGGGGATGGACCCAAATGCAGGGAGACACAGTGAAACAGAGGGTTGAATTATGGTGGCTTTAATTACTAAGAAAAATGTCTAACACAAAAACTAGAGCAGGGGAATCAAAAAATGTATAACAAAAAAAAATCCAAGAAAACAAAACTACTAAACAGAAAACATGGCAGAGAAGAGCAGGGATCACATCAGAGACATACCAGGAATCATTGTCCAAAAAAAAACCAGGGAGCAGAGCAGGAATCACAACAGGAAACACCACAGACCAGGAAACACCACAGACCAACCGACAATGACACAGGGGACACACAGGGTTTAAATACACAGGGAAGGTGCACAGCGTTGCTGAGTAAGCAGAGCAAACCGTTTTTGACCGTGCAACATTTAATGAATGTAAATATTATGATTTATTTGGTCTATGTAGAGGAAATGGATAACGACAGAGAAAGTGGTTGGCCTCTGATTATGTGAGAAATAAAATACCTATATTGGAAACTGGACTTTATTTATGGCACGTGTCAGAACAAACATCAGCAACCCTGGTGACTTTTTTGATAAGCAACGAGGTCACTACAATCACAATATCTAAATGTTCACATTTAGATATAAAATCATTAATCTCCTCTCTCTCCCATTGTACTAGAAATTATATCATATGGAGGATAACAATTTCTGTTGAATACTTGAATTTATTTTAGGTTCATTTTTTATCCATGAATGTATTAAGACACAAACCTTATTGGTGTTTATTTTTATTTTTTTATGAGAGAAGTCTATTGGAAATCACTGACTTATTTAAAAAAGAGCAAAACAGCAAAAAAAGCTGAACGGTGTTTTGTCTTTTATTAGGTAATAGTTATGTTGGTGTGCTCTGTTTGCTAAATAGCTACTAATGATGTATCTTGTCATTCTGTATATTCTTGTTTTAGACTACATTCTCTACTACAACTAAAAAAACAAACAAACCGGCCATACTCCTGACCAGAAGATGGCGGTAATGAAGCTGAAAGAAGTTAACCTGTAAAATTCATCAGTGAAGTAGAAATCTTTACTGCGCATGTGTGAAAGTCTGTATTTAACTGTCGAGCGGGCTGATTCAAAATACAACGTTAACCAAGATGTCTTTGATATCTGCGCTGCAGTTTCTGAGGTTAAATGAAATTCCCGAAGGTAAAATTGTATATGTGTGTATGTTGTAAATTACCTTGTCTATTATATTGTAGATAGAGACCACGCTTAATTGAATTTCCCGGCTGTTTGTCAAGCAATGTTGACAGCTAACGTAGCTATTTCCCGGGTTTTGTGCCCCGTCCTGTGTAGAGGAAGAATAACGCTACTAACTCCATTCACATATCTTGCAAATTAGACAATGCGGGCTGCTTTCGAAGTAAAACACAGTTAAAACGAAACTCCAGACCTGTACCTAAGTCGCGACGAGCCACTGGTGTTTTCGGCAAACAACTGTCTAACGAAGACTCACTGTAAATTTGTGTAACACGTAAATCACAGCGTTTGTAACGTTAAGTAAGCCCAGTTTAGTTTAGCTTGCATTAACTAGTTATCTGTTTGCCGAATTAGGTTAAAGAATACAGGTTTATAGTTACTGCTAAACGTGTTAAAGCCATGTTGTAAGGTTATTAAGACACATCGACTCCTGATAACGTTGGTACTCTTTAGTGTTGGCAGCTCCTTCAACAGATCTTAAGTTTGTTTAATTAAAAAGGCACAAACGTCATCGTTTGGCGGAAATATCATTTTGGTTCATATAAATCGTTACATTTAATATTATTTTTCATACATTTTGTTTTTGCTCTAAACATTTACCAGCTTTTAATTTCCCTCAGAAAACAGCTCTCTCAAGTTCCGAAATACCGTCTGTCGTGTTTTTGTATCACTTGGGGGGGGGGGAGTAATGTGATAACTGGTGTGATTTCTAGCCTGGGTGGATGCAGTGTGGGACTTGGAGTTCACAGAGAGAGAACCACTGGATGACACCATAGAGGACGAACTCGCAGTCAGTGGAGACAAGGCCTTCAGAACTTTGTACCAGTGTTTACTTGCTCATGCTGCTGACCAACAAGATGGAGCTTCACAGGTAAAGCTGATCCAGCACTGAAACACTCTGTCCTCTGCTCCACGGAAAACAAATAGGAATGTGTATATATACTGAAATGTACCGAACCTAGTGGCTCTTCCTGAAATGCTGTGTGCTCTGATGTTGATGCAAAACACCAGTGTGGTTTTTTTTTTTTTTTTTTTTTTTGGTAGCAGCAGTAAGCATTGTCTTGTCTCGCTGCAGAGCATCTGGGCGATTCTGGGGGAGAACGAGGTGTCGATCAAGTCCCTGGTGGCCGTGCTGTCCTTCTTTGTCCTGGCGGGAAAAGCCAAAACGGCCAATGTCCAGCAGAGGGTGAGCAGTCTGCATGCAGCATCACTCTACCTGCTGCTGCTGGGAATCCCAGGTGAGGAAATCTAACAAAAAATATATCTGTAAGAACGTCGGCTTGTAGTTTCGGTGCACGTCAAATTTGTTAAAACTGTAACAATAAGGTTTCATCTTTTTTCTGTAATAACAGTTATTAGATACTGTCCAGCTTGTCCATTCACTTCACTTAACTTAACAGTTGAGCAATAAACAATTCTGTGGAATAGTGTGAAACCATGGGCAGGAATGTGTACTGCATTACTGGTATACAGGTGCATCTTTGTGTGTGCGTGACACAAACAAAACTGTGGAATATCATGAGAACCAAAACCTCAACACCAAATCGATGCCAAAATTCTGAAAACGTGTTAGTACTTTTTCTACTGTACCGCTATGGCACATACCATACGTACTCGGGATCAGGGCTTAAGACTAACGCTAATCTATGGAGGTGGCATTGAGTTACATTATGATGCGTTCAAGCTCTATTCAGTAAAAATGAATTGAAAGAAATACTTAATGACCTTGTTAAAGTTCAGTCCAGGTGATTGTTGTTAGTTTGTTGGAGAAGCTAACATTTATGTTAGCCCTATAGAACCATGTGAAAAGGGTTGTAATATATGCTCTGCAATCCAACTGAAAACATGAACCTTGTGTCATTAGCGTCAGTATTTAATTTTGGTGAATTATGTGTGCCAAAACTCATACTAGGGCTGGGCGGTATACCGGTTTTAATTTCCGGTACATATGAATTTTTCATATACCGTCATACCAGCCAAAAACAACTTCTGTCGTTTTTCAACAGGCAGCAAAATGTATTGTTCGCTGCTGGATGCGCTACGGTCGGAGCTAGTTGTCTTAAGTGTATTGAGAGGGAACCCTAGTCATGGTCATAACTTTATAACGACCTTTAACAACCTACAACTAACGTCCTTTAACAGGGTAAAACACCACGACACAACAGTTTATTACAGATAAACAATTTGTAGCACTAATAATTGTACATTTATAAAATTTCTCCGCCAAACTGCATGCTGGGTATAGCTCGCTAACAGTCTGCTAACAGCTGGGAGAGGCTCTGTCGCGCCAGTAACGTTACATTAAAGAGCGATGCAGACTGAACAACAAAAGGTATTTAGTTCAGACACGTATGCAATGCTGATTACCGTAATATGTGTGGTATTTGTTATAAATGTATGTTGGTGATATGAAGCTGTACATGGAGGGACTTCTTCTTTAAATTCCATTGGCGGATCGCAAACCAACTTGCATAGGTGCATACCGCCACCTACTGTACCGGAGTGTGCATTTTCAGGGTAACCTTTTT